CATTTCAAAACGGAAATCTTCAAATGAGAGATTCTTCAAAAAATTGCTTGCAACTTTTTTTTACCGAAAAAAATTTTTTTTTAGAGATAATTGCTGCTTTTTAATTGAAGATACAAAAAAATTTCTTGCATTATCTTTGTTATCTACAAACTGAAGTTGTCTTCAAAAAACAGCAGATTTTTGGGAAATACACAAATCGGTTGTGAACAAAACAAAATTTTTTGGTATACGCGAAAATTTTTTTGCGAAATAAGAATTTTTGTGACTCGTCGAAACACTATTTTCTTTGTTTGCAGCACAGTGTTTATAATTTGTATATTATAGAATTGGAGAAATAATTTTTTTTCCGTGAAATAATTTTATTGGCATACTTGAGACAAAATTTGAAGAAAATAAAAATAAAGTTTTCTCAGAGTTTTATTTGTTGTAAAGAAAAAAAGTTTTTTTCGCACAAATATTTACAAATATTTATTTTTCATAATTGATGAATTGAAAAAAATATTTTTTTGCAAATAAAATAGAAATTTTCGTCACCAAAAAAAAGGGCAAAAAAATAAAGGTGAAAAGAATTTGTCTTTCGTAAGGTTGAACATATTGTATACAAAAAGAATTTAAGCGAAGTGACATTCAATTAGAGCTTATCGCTCCTCAGAAATTTTATCGTGTTTGATCACCCTTTATTCTCCTTCTTTTTAAGGGCAACTGTAGCCCAAGGGTTTTATCCTTATCTTGCCCCTCGCGCCTCATTTGCGAGCATGTGAGCTCAGGAAGCAACGAAAAGGGCCATTTTCTTTCCTTAAGCTCATTTTTCTTTTTTTTTTTGAACCCATACACTTTCCCAGGTATATGTATATATAAAGCCCTGCTCTCCAAGTGATAAGAAAGTACCTGCCTCAGTTTGTATTTTCAATCATATGCCCTGTTAAGTCCGATTATATCCTAAACCCCATTTTATCCTTTATTTGCTTTAGTATATTTTTATTTATATGTTTTTTAATAAATAATTGTTAAAACACTCGAGTAACAATTAAAATTTCATCAAAATTTTGAAAAATTGACATCGAATTTTATCAGTTTTAAATTGAGAAATTTTGTTTGAAACAAAAATGGAATATTGTGCCATTAAAGTGGAAGTGAATAAATTATAAGTGAACTAATTAGAATGCATAAGAATGTTTTATCATATATGTATAAGTGCATATAAGCTGCAAACACCTATATAGATATACAATGATGCTAAAATACAAAATAATTTATTACCCGACGCACGAAGTTGGTATTTTTTACAACCGATTATTCTCCGTTATATAGGTGTTCTGGACTCATTGTATTGCCCGTTACGTTAATAACGCGCTTTGAGGAATAACAATGAATTTTATAAAATAAAATTTTACGGTTTAATCAGCCAACGCACGGTTTTCATTTATGGCTGTACATTTTTCGCGCTCGTTTTGAAAGGAAATATGTTTTGGATATAATATATAAATGGCGTGGAGATTATTCATTTTTCAAATAGTTTTTTATATATGTTTTCAATATCATAAACAATCCCGCTAATAAACACATACATCGTTTATTACATTTTTTTTAAATTTTAATTTAATAAATTCTTTTTTTTTTTAAATAAAATATGTAACATTAATTATAGAATTTATCCACAATGTATCTATGTATCCATAATGTGTGAGTAATGAATATGTAATTTACATATGGTTACATGATAAGGTAATGAAATATTTAATGAAACAAATTATTACAGTAAATTATGTAGAGGCAATTAAATTTTGCTTCCATCGATATTTCGTTGGGGAGGAAAAAAAAAATTGACGTCCAGATTGACATGGACCAGTAGCTAACTTATATGTATATATTACCCATTAATATAAAATTGATTACTCGAGGCAATCGCTTTCGAGAGTAGTGTGCAAACGAAATTACCTCTACATATACATGTATATATATATATCGAATAGGAAGTCAATAGCGCCCGATTAATGCATCAATAGGCATATATATATTATACAAATTTTCAAATGTTTATTAAAAAGAGGTAATTTGTTTCATTGTATGTATATAAATATTCTAAACCGCAATGCCATGCGAAAACCTGTCATATTAAGCATGTCAAATAAAATGTAATAATTCAATCATCAGGGATTTCAATTTCTGTTGGTATACGAAACTAGTAATTTATTATATAATTGCAAAATTTATTTCAATTTTTTTATTAACAATTTCAAAAATTGTGACACGCTTTTAAGAAAGGGACCCTAGAAACAAAAAATTATAGGTTATGTTTTTACATTTTTAAGAGAATCAACTCTCAATAGAAATAATTGATATTTAAGTCTTCGTTACATATCCGAAATATTCAATAAAAACTGATTTTAATTTTACAAAAGTAAAAAGAAACTTTTAAACAATAAATTACCGTAAACATAACCTATAATTCGTTTGCTTTTAAGGTCCCTTTATTCAGAGCGAGTCACAATTAATAAAATAATATTAAATATGTATTAAATAAAAGAAAATTGTTACTTCTATATTATACACCCAAAGAAATATTTTATTTCCATTTCTGATAAATAAAATTTATTTAAATCAAATAAAAATTATTTGAAATAAATAAATATTTATTTGGCTCTGAGACAAAAATTCCTCTGATTGTATATTATGAAAAGCATTCCTTTATTTAGGACAAAATTGAATTTAATAAAAAAATGGATAATAAATTTATAATATCAAAAAAAACATAATAGCTCTTTGTTTTCAAATATAAACAATAATGCTTTTAAAATATATTGTTATTGAAAGTATATTTATCATAAAATTTTTTATTTTATTTGCTTTTAAAATAATGAAATACAACACAATGGCGAGGAAAAAAGTGGAATATTGAAAAAAAAATGTATTATTGTCCCAAAAAAAAAGAATTTTTCACATAGAAATTGTTAGTTTCTGAAAATATAGAGGAAAAGTCATATTTCGTTTTATTTAAACATTGACAGTGAACGAATTTAAAATTTTCCGAAATAGTTTGTCAAGCTAAAAGCATATTGTTTCACGATTTTTCATTTTTAAAATCCTATATATATATATATATAGAAGCACTGAAATATATGACTGACGTTTCAAATTTTTCCCTGTGACTAAATATGCAGATGTCGATATTAAAAAGCAGTATCAAAAATTTAAATTTTACAAGTTCAACAAAAATGAAATTCTTTTCGAAATGGAAAAATATTTTCGCGGAAATCGTACAAGAAAATATCTATTATTATTCTCTATTATTTTAGAAAAAATTAAAAAAATAAGAAAATTTGTTTAGAAATAATGTTTAAAAATACGAATTAAAAAAATATATTTTCTACTGTATTTAAAAAATTGAATTCGAAGAAAAATTTGCTGAAAAGAAAATGAAAATAGAACAAATTGTTTAAAAGAAAAACAGTTTTCGAGTTAGAATAACCTTTTGAAAGAAAACATTAAAATCTGAAAAATATACAAGCGAAAAGTAAGAAATAGACTTGAAGTAGTAATAATGGTGTAGTTGTTGAGAAATGTAGTAGAAAAAAAAAGAATTAAAGTATAAAAGAAGGTCGAAAAATAGAGAAAAAAGCTCGCGCTATAAAAAATGTCTAATTCTTGCGGCACTAGAAAAATTTCTGAAGAGTATAGAAAAATTTCAAAATCAAAATAAAAATAGAAACCATTTTCAAAGTATTAGCTACATCACCTTGAGTATTTTGAAATGAACGGGGAAAAAAAAGCAAAAGCGTCTAAAAATATATAGAGCTATTATATTCGGATTTACAAAGGACTTCCACAAAAATGAATGATAATTATTTCAATCAGAATCCTTTAACAAAAGAATATTTTATTGTTACAACGATTACTGACGTTTAACAATGGACTAACTTATTATCAGCGAATTCTAAAGATCCAAGAATATTCCGTATATATTTAATTTACAATTTTATATTTTTACTGTTATTATTTAACTATATTTTTTTATTATTATATTTATATAATTTTATTTAATTATTTTTTATTATTATATTATTTTATTTATTAATTTCTTTCTTTATTTATATTTTATTTATTTAAAAAAAGATCTCAGATGTAAAAATGTCAAGAATCGTTAATGTTTTAAAAAAATCGTAAAAGAACACGTTCTTTATCCTTTCATCGACTTTTTCTTTAAAAATTTAATTGAAATCCCAAACATTTCGAGTTTCTTGAAACCTTTTTCCGACCGAATTGGACTTTAAATTATAAATTATGTAACAAATGCAATAGAAACAATCTTATTTTAGGATATAAAAGTTGCAGCTAATATTTTATAAGACTATTTTATCTCTTCGAAGTAAATTTTCATGTGAGGTAAAATATTTTTGTTTGCAATATTTAAATTGATAAAAAATGCTGAAAATTTTCCATCTTTTTTTTAATTTGTTAAAAATTTACAATATTTGTACTAAAAATTAATTTTAATAATTCTCTATCTCTGTGGTCAATTTTCATTCTTGTTTCTAATATACGAACAAAGTTCGAAGCCCGCCGGCAATTCCCCAGTATGTATAATTATTTATTAATTGAAGAACACAATTGAAACTTTGGTGGAAATTAGTCACGGAATACGAAAGACATTGTCAAACATCTTCAAACTCAAAGATACACATTCAATATTCGAGTAAATGGAAATTGTATGTAATATTAGTATATAATATTATACATTTATAATATAATATTATTTAATAACATCGAATACATTTTTGGAAAAAAAATCTCTATCTAATAAAAAAATGTTTTATTTTTCGAATCCCTTGTACTTTCCTGAAACTTTGTCAAACTCAAGAGAGAAAGAGAAGGGAGATTTAGCCCCGATGAAATTCAGAGAATTATATAGAGTCTGACACCTGTCGTTCTAGACAAGATGCAAAAACCCGTGCATGCAATGTATTTCGCAAGTTGGAAAGATTCAAAAACTTGGTACTCACGCGACACTGAATGCTTCTTCTTCCTTTTCGCTTGTCTCCCCCTTTTATATGCTCGCGCTCGTTGCACCCCTCAAACTTCTCACAAGGGTGCCAGAGGATGCATCAGTTTTCCGCTACTTTCTTTTTATATTAACTCGTTTTCTCCCTACAATCTCTTCCCCCCTTTTTTTTTTATATACAAATTTTCTTTCAAAAAAAATGAAAATAAAAAAAACTGATTAAAATTCAAAAGAAAATGAATTCATTAAAAGCGCGAAACACATATAAGATTATAATTATTATTTGAATTTGTTCACTCCCTATGTAACATTGTATATATCTGGAATCGATTTCATAATCGCGCCGTGTGCTATACTAATGCTGATGCACTTTGGTTAGAGCTATAACTTTTGATTACGCCATCAAATCTCCATCTCGCTGATAACCCCAGTCCTGTTGCTGATTCCACTATTTCCTCATAAACTGGACTCTCAGTGCGGTGATGGTATTGGTTGAATTTTGTCTATAGGAAAAATATCATCGTTGATGATGATGATAATAATTAAACGCTTCATTAAATTGAGAATTTCTCGACATTTCTGATTTCAATTTGTTCCCCACGTTTCTTGTTATCTTTATGTCTTCTACTTTCTATTGTTTCTCTCTTTCTCATCTTTTAATTATCATCTCTGTCACAATATTTGATTTATTTTCCCTATTCAAAACTTTTCCAAACATTTTTTATTTTTGTTTTCGAATCAACTTCTTTTTCTCAATTAATGACAATTTGTAAATTTTCTTATTATTTCGAATTGAAAAAGTTTGTTTTTATTCGTAAAATACTCCCAAGAGGGAGAAAAAAAAAGAAGCGTGGTCACTGAGAGAGAATTTGAATTTGAAAAAAGAAACGATGTCGTGTGGCACTCGATAAGTCAATTTTGGGTGTGAACTTTCCAGTCGTGAGAGGCGAAAGGGGGTTTGTGAACGTTGAATAAAATATATCGCGCGAGGGGTTTTATTCACGAACTTTTTTTTTCTTTTTTTTTGGCGAGAGAATCGCGCTTTATCAGGTCGTGGGTGAACCTGGCCTTTAAAGGTAAAGCACACTGTGCCGAATGCGAAGAACGAACCGGTCGCACCCCGTTTTCATATAAATGCGCAGAATCGACAAAATGTTGACGCATGAGCTCTTCTACTCTTCGCAAATCCGTATATGGTTGAAATTGCAGAGACTCATCGTTTCATCTCGATTTCGTCTTGGGAAGGACGACACGCCTGGTCCAAAAAGGCGCAAAGGGAAGCTGTGCGGAGTGTGGGGGGGGGGGGTACGAAAGAAGAAAAAAGATCGAGGCAAATGAAAAAGACTGAGCGAAGATTTGTTGACTTCTACCTTTCTTGGGGTGTATTGAAATTTAAAAGACGACCCTTTCAATCTTCTCATTCTCGATCGGGTTCGATTTTTCAATATATTGTAAACGCGCACCTATTTTTGAAAAATGTTTTTTTTTTTAAATTCACTCTCTTATACTGACAAATCAAATTCAATTTGGAATAATGACTAAAATTAATTTGTTATGAGTTTTTATTTCATTTTCATGATTTGTTAATTTTAACCCTATGATTCTGTCAAATACACGGAAAAAAATTTATCCAATTCTACACTGAAAAAAAATTTATTTGATTCAAATACTCGATTACATGACTATTATATCAAATAAATATTTACTTGAACCAAATAATTTTTATTTGAATTAAATAAATTGTATTTGAACCAATAATTTCTGTATTTGAAACAAATTGTGTCAAAATTATTTGATTCAAGTAAATATTTATTTGATAATAGTCAAGTAATCAAGTATTAGAATTAAATAAATTTTTTTTTATAGAACACGAATATATTTTGACTTTTTAATATTTTTTCGAGCAAATGAAATGTGTTTGATATAGAGAATTTCTTCTAGGTTTGGCTTCTTACAATGTTGCAAGGGAGGAGAAAGTTGCACAGTCATGCTTATAGCTTGATACGATTCTATAAAGATTAACTCTCTTGAAAGTGTGTTAGAGAACACTGCGAAAAAGATTTATTATTTTTCATGGCATCTACTCAAATGGCCTTCTTCTTTTTTTTTCTCTCTCCTTTGATTTCATTTTATTTTCAAAAGCCAATTTCAATTTCAATTTCAATTTTTATGTTCGAAAAGAATTATTTGCAAGGGAAAAATAATTTACACGCGTGTGGGGAAAAAATATTTCTTTCATCCTTGAAAAAATTGATAATAATGTAAAAATTCGATATTCATATATGTTTTCTCACATTATTCAATCTTTTATTTTTTTTTTTATATTATTTCTCCGGCAACCCTTTAGGGCGTCAAACTTGTATAAAGCATCCATTTACATTCTATAGTAGTTCTAGAATTCTCTTGCGTTTGCATGAGTTTTATTATTATACCGTAAAAGGAGGAATTCCACGAGAAGAGAAGGAACTTAACTTAAATCTCAGCAAGTTACTCAGAATTAGATGTACTTAAGGTTCATCGACGTGAAACGAGTTTCAGTTAATTTATGAAAACCCCAATTGACATAATGAAACAGTTTCTGGATTAATGTCCTCAAAAATGTGAACTGTTTTAAAGAAAGAAATTACCATTTTTCAAATAGTAAATAAATCTTAAGACAAAAAAAAATCATTTTTCAAAATATTCGAATGCAATTTCAAATATTATTGCCTTCTGAGCAAATTTCAAAAACCGATAATTTCATTTCACTTGCTCTAATTTCCATCAGATTCGATTTTCACATTCAATTTCTGGATTAAGTTTCTTTTTTTTAAAGAAACTAATTACAAAATAGAAATTGTGAAAATTGCTACGGTTTTTTGAATGTATGCGATCGCTGATAAAAGATAAATCTTTTGATCTTTTTTGCCTCTCTACATGGTGGTAAAAATTTATGACACCATGTCTGTTTTATTGCGCGATGTGAAACGGAATAGAGTAGAAATATAGAAAGAAATGAAAGTGGTTGTGACATTTTAGGGGGATGTGAAACGCAACTTACTGATAGCCTTTGACGTGTTGAGGGTTTGAAATCTTTCATTGGAGAGTCTCTCACAGCAACCACTTTATCTTCGTCACCTGTCACACCTGAATATGTGTTTTACTGTGCGAACGAGGGAACGCATCTTGGCGATCACTTCCTCTTGCATCAGATTGAAACACATGGCGATTAACGCCATACCTTAAACAAATATTTCATTTCTTAGTTAAATTATAAAATTAGTTAGAAATATTTTTATTTATATTTAAATTAAATTTGAAAGAATATTTTATTTTTTGAAAAATGTGATTTATCTGAAGTGCTTACCCAGCATCAGGTACATGGAGCAAAAGACGAAAGACAGTTCGAATCCCTGGCCCTGCCCTGTGATCTTATCACCAGGTACAATATCACCGAAGCCTATTGTGGAAAGGGATATGAAACAAAAGTAGGAGCCGTCGAGAAAATCCCATTCCTCCCATTCGGAAAAGAGGAAAGCTCCCCCGCATACATACCTATATATACAACCAGACAGAAAACGTTTCCATATATATAGATTTTTTATTCATTTTTCATATGCTAAGCAGATTTTCTTCTAATAATGCATTTGAAATCCCCTTTTGAACTCGAGTTTACAACAAACTATCATATATAAAAAAAAAAAATATTCCATATATTTTTCATATTTATCCAAGAGGAAAAATATTCCATTTTTTATTCATAAAAATAGATTTTAAAAATTGTATTTAAAAATTGTATTAGTTTTGAAAAATTAGTTTAAAAACTAATTAGTTAATTATACAATTAAGAAAACTTACCCCACCATAATGGCGAAACAAAGAGTGAGAGGTACTGTGACCCTTTGCGGATCGTATTTTCCGTCACTGTCTTCATCATCGTCTTCGTCATCGTCATTGTCCTCCTCTTCGCCAATCTCTTCGGTGTTGGAACTATTTTCCTGGTCCAAACTTGAAGTGTCCATTTCACCTCCATGTAAATTTACCATCTTTAAAAATATATTTTAATTTTTATTTCAAATTAATTTTCCAAAAATTTTTTAAATTAAATTATTTTATTTATTCAAAATTTAAAGAAAATTTTTGTAATTGTAATTAAAAAAAATTCTTTTTTAATACACTTTTTATAAAGTGTAAAAGGAGTCTGATTAATTTAAAATTATTTTTAATATACTTACTTGCCAATGGCTTTTCTTTGCTATTTGTTCTCGAGGAGGTGGAGGTCCTCGAGGTCTCCTGCGACATCTAAAAGAGAAATTAAAATTTATGAGAGTTTCAGTTCAACTTTTTACTTATGCCAGCTTCTGCTTTAACTACAAATTAAAGAATTAAGGAAATTGGAGATTGGAAAGAAGAAAATATATAGAGTTTCAACTTTCTTTGCAAATTGTAATTGTATTATATTTCCAAATGAAATTGAAATGACAAAGTTTTATTACTCGCAACCATGATAAAAATATTTTTAATTTTTTTCTGCCAAAAAAAAAATTTGTTTGTTTAAATAAGCATAGCCAAGAAGAAATTTAACGGGAATTTAATAATTAATAATAAATATTTTATTTAAAAAAAATCTACTGAATCATTAAAAGCTTTTAAACTCACTTTAACCAAAACCATCTTGATTATGCAGTTCCCTTTTATATGGAATAAAGTTACTTTTTTTTTAACAAAAAAAAGCTTTAAGAAACCATTAGGGATTCATGATTAAAACAATTTACAAAAAAGGTCTTGAAAGTACAACAAAAATTAAATTAAGATGTATTTAAATATGAAAAAATATGTTTTAAAATGAATTCAATTACAAAAGAATAAAATTTTCATTACAAGGTGAGAAATGACCACTATAAATAACAATAATATAACGTGAAATTTAGTTGGAATTTTTAATGAAAAATAATAATAGCAATAATAATGAACTTTATGAGAAAAACAATTAGTTTTGCATGGAAGCAGAACTTTCATCAAGAAACATAATTAAAAGCTTTGCTATTACTTAAACGGTTCAAAAGCTTAGATTTAACCGTTATCCAGTGTTGTTATTCTGGTCGTGTATCAAAGAGGAGCTTTTATACACACCTGCAAAGGCAACAACGGGCGTAAGTCCACTTAAAGCTCCGGGCGAGAATGTCGCCAATGTTGCTGAGGTAGAGGAGAAAAAGAGGCATTCCAACAATGGCGTACACTATTGTCGCCACTTTACCCCATTTGGTCCTAGGGCAAGTGTTCCCATAACCTTAAACGCAAAAACAGAGATTTCTATTCATTCACAGAACCGAAAAAAAAGAATCTTTTTTTTTCTTCTTATCAAACACTTTTTTTTATTGTCTTTTACGAGTTTCCCCCTTTGCTATCATCGAAAAACGATTCCTTTGCATAATAAAAAAAGAAACCGTTACATTTAACTCACTCATTTTACTATTTCCCTTTTTTTATTTTATTTGAGTTTTCAATGTGCTTTTAGTTTTTTTTTTTTTTAAATGAAAATGCATTTTGGGTATAAAGAATTTAAATTCGTTTTTCAACTAAAGTTATCTTTTTTTTCAATTTTTACTTTTTAAAAAAAGGAATTTTTAAATATAGAACCGAGTTATTAATACGAAAATTAATTAAATAAGTAAATAAAAATCCATTACATTTAAAAAAGAAAAATATAGAAATTTCACAAGTTTGGCAGAATTACAATTTTCTTTTATATTTTCAAACTTTTCTTATTCTTGGAAAATCTCTTACGAATATAAATTTAATATAAACCTTTTTTGCATATAAATTATACAAAGAAATAGATTCCCTTTTTCGAGCAAATACAGAAATTATTATGTTTTTTTTTTTTCACCGAGTTAAGTAAAGTAAACTTAGTAGCAGGAAATTTAATTTTAGAAAACATTTTTATTTATGGAAAAATAAGAATTAAAAAATAATAAAATATAAAAATTAAAAAAAAAATTAATAACTAAACTATAAGTTTAATTAATTCATTGACTTCTGTTATTTTCTTTTTAATCAAAATTTGATTTTTTTTCAAATTAAATAAAATATTTGAATTAAATGAAAATTATTTAGTGTCAGGAAATTGATTTGAAAATTTGTATACAAATCTTGAAAACAAAAAATTCAATTCTATAAAATCTCGACTTTTTCCATTGTATCTCTATTAGTCGACAATCCTCGATAATTGGTTCAAATCCTATGGGGATTTTCGCACGCACTTTTATTTCAACTGTTTTTAGACATAACGTGTGTTTCTGGTTATTTTAAAAGTCAGAATACAGGCAAAAAAAAATTATTTTTAAGTCAAAATTAAATCCAATTTTTTACTAATTAATATTTAAAAATTACAAATTTCTACATTCATTAATTTATTTGTACAATTTTTTTAAATATAATTTTTTATTTGTAATTTTTATTATTAAAAAAAGAAGAAAAAATTTCTTTCTCTAATAAAATTTTGCATTTAATGGGGTAAATTTTCCCCTTATTTTCATCTTTATTATAGAAATGAGATCTAAATTTGCAATGACTTGATTTCGTATCGTGATCTCCGATGCGCGTTCACCAGTGAAGTTGAATACACTCTGGGTATTACATGTACAGGGCTAACTAGTAGCGCAAGCACGCGAAACGCTTTGATTACGCTTGATTACTTCATTAAAGCGGTTTAAAGCGCATCACTGCGGTACACGGAATTCTCGTCTCTTTTAAACTTGCTTTTCTCTATCTCTCTTTTTTTCCCCTTATCTGTTGTTCTACAGACTGTGCGCGTTTGTTGTAATCTTTTTCGAGCACTCAAAATTTGAATATGCAAAGCTCCTTCTCATGCTTATTAGAACGTTAATAAATATATATCTTTTTTTAAAATTATTTTTCTAAGCACTGTATTGTTTGAACATTCAAAACATATTTTTTTTGTGCAAAAAAAGGCAATACTTATAATAAAAAAGGTTCCAAAAAAATGTAATTACACTAAAGCTTTGATTGCATTTTTTATCTGTGACTACATTTTTACATATACAATCTCGTAAAAGCAAGAGATTCTATGAATTTTCTAGTGGACTACTTTAAACAGTTTTTCAAAAGTCAAATTCATTCAAAGTGACAGGAATTTTTTCATTAACGCAATACTGGCAAAAATTTTGTGAATTTGCACGTAAAGAGATTCAAAATTTGTATAATCAATTGGAATTTCTTTTCTCGAGAAGCGAATTTTGTTTTCAATTATTTTTTTTAATACTTTTTAATTTGCTTTGATTAAAAAATTTTAATTAGTTTTCTTTAATAATAAACAGAAGTAAAATATAAAAAAAAGTATAAATATAAATTTATATTAAAAAATGGGGAATAAAATTTTTCATAATGAAAAAAATTTCTTTTCACAGAAAAAAAAACAAGAGGCAAAGTAGAATTCTTGAAAAGTAATAGACACGATATTAATATAAGAGAGGCATCTAAAAAAAAAGTCTATTGTTTAAGGGGGCGGTGATAAAAATCTGCATTTTATTCGGTTAGAAGGGACACACATTTTCATATCGCTAGTGGGAAATATTTTTCGTCCCTTTTTTTTTTTGGCATAATCTCCATACATGCCTTTCGTATTGGTGTGTGAATTAAAAAATAGTGATAAAGTAATCTTCCTTTCGTAACTCATTTTAACGCGTTTTTATTTCAAGCTGAATTAGTGAATAGCAACACTGAAAAGTAACAGAATTGGACAATTTCGACGTCGAAAGGCTGTGTAATGAAATTTCCGCGTGGATTTTATCACGCTGTTAATTACACTTGACAAACTTGACAGATATACGTTTTAAAAAAGTGGAAAATGGAAGCTCTATGCATTTTCCATTTCAGAGGATTTTATGATCCGGTATTACGAGACGTGCAGAGGTTTCAGTAAGATTTATTCTACAGGTTTCTCAATTTTCATTCTTATATAACCATTAAATTATATTTCCCGCAACAATTTATATTATTATAAATATAATTCTGTCACTTATTTTTGAAAATTATTATTATTTAGCAGGGAAACATGTCTGGTAGTGCAACTTGGTGCGTGTATATTTAAATAAATTCCACTTCGAAAGGGGAGTACATTTTAAAAATATGTAGCCAAGATTTTATTTGAAGATGACTAATTTTGAAAAAAAATTAGTTTTTCTTTTTTGTTATTTTTTTTTTGCTAATTTTTTGCTGCAGGTTGAAATTTAAGTGTATTATAATATTTTTCCAAAAAAATTATAAAACTCGAGCAGAACATATTTTTGTTTTTTTTTTACTTAATATTCACTTTACTTTCACTTCACTTTATTTTCATTTCGTTTGATCTTCACTTCACTTTCACTCAATTTTCAGTTCACTTTCACTTCATTTTCACTTTACTTTCACTTAATATTCACTTTACTTCACTTTATTTTCATTTCACTTGATCTTCCCTTCACTTCACTTTCACTTCATTTTCACTTAACTTTCATTTCACTTTCACTTAATATTCAATTTATTTTCATTTCACTTGATTTTCACTTCACTTTCACTTGATTTTAACTTCACTTTCACTTGATTTTCACTTCACTTTTTCTAGAATATTGAAAATAATAATTGATTAAAAAATTCATTTTCTGAAAGGCAACACCTTTTTTAAAACTTATTTATCGCGTCTTATCTCCCTATGTGAAAAGTCTGAATCACTACACACGGGAAATCTAATAAAGCTGAACCAACAAACTCTTTTTCCGAGCCCCTTTTAACTCTGAATTACTTATTCACTAGAGCGTGGAAAGCGAATTCGCGTTTTTCGAGCTTTTTTTTTTATTTAGTCTATTATTCCGGCATATATCCCTCGGCAACGATTCTTGCAGAGGTGCGCGTATGTAGCATGGCACAAAGAGAGAGAAAGGAGAGAGAGAGAGAGAGAGAGAGAGAGAGAGAGAGAGAGAGAGAGAGAGAGAGTTAGGCTTTAATGTAGAGGATATAAGACGCCTTTTCGCAATAATAAACGGATGGCGTACGTATGCGCGATAGTAAATGCATCATAAAATTTGCAGTAAACAAACGTAAGCGCCGGCTGTCAGCTTTGTACACTAGTGCCACAAATAAACTTGGGAAGCTAACGCTCGATCGCGACTTTATGGTCCACCCTCCCTCCATCCCCCCCCACCTCCCTTAAGGCGTCTGAGATTGCGATTGCCAATATTGAATTACTACACTGACTCATTTTTTTTTTCTATCTATATATTTCTTTTGATAATCCATTTTTATTGAGAGGATTATTTTTTTAAAAAAATAAATCTCATTGCAACTTTGCATCAGGATGCTGCGCGCATTTTAATTTTAATCCACTTACAAGTTGTCGGTAACTTAAGACGTAATTTTATTTTCTTTTATACAGGGAGGAAACTGTATTAAAACACTCCAGTCGATGATGAAAATTATAGTCGATATATTTGAAAAACAGCAAAATTCAAAAATAAAAACCGAATTTATAAAATATCAATTTCTCATTATGTTGCGGCAATTAATGAAACTGATTATAAAAGTGAAACTGTTTATATGCGTCAGTGAATGAATTTAATATGCGGATGCAGTTTTAGGAAAATGGAAGGCTGAGGCGTTAATTATTCATAACATTTCGTGATGAAATGAAGGAAGTTGCGAGAGTCAGGGAGTATAATATGTACGTGCGACCGCAACAAAGATAATGCTTTTAGTGAGTTTTGTGGGCCGTGTTCATTTCATCAAGAGGTGGAATTAATCATCTCACATTTACAGTTACTATTCGCAGTTATGTAAGGATATGGATGGAGGATGGATTTCTGAAATTGCCACCTACTTTCCTCTCGCGAATCATCTTTTACCCCCCAAAACCTTATTCTATATATATATATTTTGCTCCCTTCCGATTTCTCCAGGGTGTCGTCTGAAATTACTTTCATTCTCGACTCGTCGTCAAACTGCCTGCTGAACCGTTCTCAAGTCTCGTTAGGTCGGAAATTAATTACTCTATAGGACGACGACGACCAACATGTTATTAAATTTCTCCAATATATGAGAGATTTCATTCCTTTTTTTTCCGTTTTCACACTTTTTATTGGAATATATATACATGTTTTCTCATTTTTATTCGATATTTTTCTCTCACAAAAAGCTATGATAATGTCATTGATCATAAAAATGCATCGTCAAATATTTTAAAAGCCTATCATTGAATTTCTCCAAGAAATATGTTTTCGATATTATTATTGAAAAAAACCAAAATTTTTTTGTCACTTGTTCCTAATAAAATAAACAAAACCAATGTATAAAGAAATTTAAAATGAAGAAATAAAAAATTAGAACCAAAGTTAATTGAAAGCATTGAAAAAATAAATTAAAAACGTAAGAAATGAGAAAAGAAGAAATCAGAAATAAAGCAATAAAAAATTAAACGGAAAGAAGTAAAAGAATCAGAAAAAAAATCAGAAATTACTTTTCAATGCAATTAGTTGACGTTGGACAAAGGAAGATTAAAAACCGTATTTTATCTCAACACTTACAATTTAAAATATAAAATGAAATCGGTAATTAAGGAAATAAACAAAAAAAAAAATTTCGTTTGAAATGAATAGAATAAGTTAATCTTCGATATAGGTTATAATTGAATAACTTCACTTCGTAAACTTGCATTTCGCTTTGAATATTTCAGTATTTACCCTGCCAGTTGAATCCAATTGAAACTAATAATCATGTTTGCTTTGAAACATATTCAATATGTAAAATGAGCCATGACAATATTTAACGTATATTATTCTTCATATGATGAACGTAAAAACAAAAATTTGCGAAAACAAAAGAAAATAAATAAAAAAAAAAAAAAAGTTCTCGAACGCTTTTGGATGTAGAATATTAAACGATTTTACTGACAGGATAGGTCATTCATTATTCCAGTAGTAAACGTCAAGTTAGATCAGGCACGTATAAAAATTTAAGTTTCTTCACTGGATACGATCAAAGTTTTATCGCTCTAAATAGACTTGAAAATGTCTCATTTAAATTTTTTTTAAAAAATAAAAACTTTTTTTCTCTAATTTATGTATAAAAAAAATATTTTTCCAACAAATAAAAATTAATTTTTAGAAATAAAACTAAATTTCTTTTTTTTAAAATACTTTACTATATATAGAAAATTAAAAATATATTGCATGCGTAAAATTATTAAATTAAACTTTGACTATATATAATTTACTAAATTCCATATACTAAAACTCAAGAATGGGCCATTTATGTTTATAATCATTTTGTGTTTCAGTAGTAAATGTGAAATTAGGTCAGACATTTCTCGTTGAATTCAAATCCCTTGAAACTTTCTCAATTTTGACTGTGAAACTGTATCCTACATGTGAGATACAATAGATTTTAAGCGTACACTCCCAAGACAATTAGAAAATGCCTTTCGCATGTAATTTCAGTGATAAATGTCGAGATAAGTCAGACACAGTTAGAAATTTTAGTTCTCGCGCTTCTTTATACTTTTTGTAAAAACTTTTTTTTTTTTGACCTAAAAACAACATTTAAAGTAGAGTTTTATAACATTAAAGTAAGTTATATTAATAATGTCACTGTTTCAGTAGTGAACATCGATTTTAGTCAGACACAAAAGTTACACGCGGTTTTCATAAAATATAAGGAAACTATCAAATTATTTATTCAACTATTTTTTAATATTTTATTTATTAAACTATTTTTAACATTATTTTTTAGAATATTTAAATAATTCATTAATTATTAATAAATAAATTCAATTAATTTATAGTGGTAAACATAAATTTTGTTTTAAATTAAATTCTTACTAATTTGAGTCAGTTATTAATTAGTAGCTATTAGTGAATTTTAATGTCATTCATTTGAAAAAGTCAGAAAAAGGCGATTAATAATTTTAGTAGTAAATGTCACGTTAGGTCAACCTTATATAAAAATTTAAGCTTCCTTCTAATACCCGATGCTATAAAAATTTTAACGTTTGAAAAATCACTTCAAAATAATTCCTTGCATATTTCAGTATTTAAAAATTAATTTTGATACTCGATTTCAGTATAGAAAACTTTCTTTCTATATTTTATTTCTTTATTCCTATTTTTTTTAATAAAAACAATTAAAAGAATCTTTAATTTTTTTCAATTTTGTACCTATTAATAAATCTTTGACATTTATTTTAATGAAATACTTGATGAAAAGTTTGAAAATTTATATTTATAATTTCATGTAGATAACGTCAGACTTGTGAATAAAAATAAGTTTCCTTCCTCGTTAAAAAAAATCGCGAGAGAAACGCAACGGGAAATTTAAAAAAAAATATATTTTTAATTTTAAAAAATTAATAAAAATGGCGTCTCAAAAAAAAAAAAATGTTTCAGCTTTTGAATAGGATCTTGAACATTTATCCCATTAAGACTCAAATTGCTTTCCTCATTTGCAGGAGTTTTAAAGAAGGGATGTTAATTCTTGATCATTATAGTGCTCAGCTTAATGAAACAAAGCTGGCAATTACTTGTCGATGCAATTAATTACCGATGAAACTAAGACGAGTTTTAGGGCCGTCTTTTATCTTTACATTTGAAACTGCATCTCTCTTAACGAGATGAGAAAAGTTCTTATACAGCAAATGACATTTGTTGAAAAACAGATTATAAAAAATCAGAAAATATAAATTAACTGATTTTATAGACAAATTTAAGAATTAAAAAAATTATTTAATTATTAATTATATAAAATGATTGTAAAAATTGTAAAATAGTATTAAAAAAATGTCAGAAGGATATAATATTGTAATGTGGGTTTAATCCCATTTTGATGAAGTGGTCTGCGGTTAACCCATTCTATATTGCAGGTAAATAACTTTAATTGCTGGCAGTGTATGAAAAGTGAAAAATATGTAGAAAATAAACTTACCGATAGTTGTAATGACTGTGAGAGAGTAAAGGAAAGCACCAGCAAAGCTCCATTGCTTACTCTCACCCGTGGTATCAGCTCCTTCGTATCCGTTTTTTATTGCACTCACGATCTCTTTTTGGTAATTTGCAAGCTCTGCACGAACTCTCGCCTTCCAGGTCCTCTCCGAAAATACGTTTAACTGAAAATAAAAACAATGAGAAACAAGAATCAAAAGACCCATTAACGAATACATAGGCAATCTTTACCTCTCAACAAATTAAGTGATTATTCTTCTATAAAGATTTAATTTTTTAACTAAATAATTTCGAAGAAAGGATTCGACATTTAAAAAATTGAAAATTTCACAAAGTTATTGTTTGCTGTTTACAAGACTCGGTAGAATACGATAACAAGTATTTTTATTTTTTTCAACATCAATTATAGAACGAGTTTCAACATTAAAACTTCCCATATCTGATCGTAAATTACTCTGTCAAGTGCAATCTCTCATAAGAATGTTTCTAAAAGCCCTTACTTCCAATTGGGATTTTCAAGTGTAAAACGAAAGTTTCTTGTTGGTTTGTTTCTTCGAGCTCGAGTCTAATAGCAATCAAGAGACTCGAAACTTTTTGTTTCTCACTTTTATACGCCTCAGGGATTTCTTCACGACTATTGAAAATACACCTTTTTTTTGAACAATTTCCTCAAGAAGCGATAAAAAAAAAAACTACACGCATTCCCATGATAATAGGAAAAATCTTTATTTAGAGTTATTTTCACGAATCGAAAAATAATTTCAAAAATTACCTATCCAGTACCATTATTATTCCATAAGAAAAGTTTAATCATAAAAATAAATTTTTTTTTACTAAATTTTTCTGATTGTGCGACAAAATATAAATTGTGAAATATTACCTTGCACGTGAGTTCCCATAGGCGAAAGGCAGTGTCGTTTCTTAAAATAAGAACGTGACTGGCTCTGTCTTGACTGTTTTTGCCTTCAATAAATTGAAAGAGAAATGCACCGGCAATCGTATAACTGACCACGAGGCATACAATGCCAACATTGCTAAACAAAAAGGCAATGAAAGCACGCGTCCAATCGGCTATTCTTTCACACCATGGCTTTCGTCGTTTTCTTTTTCTTCGTCCACTTCGACCACGAAAATGTCCACCTTGCCACTCTCTAATCACCGACGAATAGGCCGAATTATCGTTACTGTCCATTTCGCCTCACCACCTTCATGAATCGACCCATTCTCTATACATCACGTCGCAATTATTCACACACTTTTTTTTTTAAGTCCTTTGTATTCTGCCATTTAAATGTTCGCCCTTTTTTTTATAATTAACTGAAATTCACTGCTATTCCTCTAATTTCCATCATTTTTCAATATTTTTAGTTCCTGAAATACGGGAAAAATAATAGCAATGTTCTGAAAAATTAAAAGCATTTTTATTCATATATATTATGAAAAAGAAATCGAAATCCATTTCCCATTATTTTGGAGATATTATTTTTCTTCTAAAAGAGGATTTAAAAAACATTCTTTAGCTTTTTTCCATGAACTTCGACAGTTATTTTCCTTGACATTTCGAGAGAAGATCTTCATTCTCAGTTATGTTTTATTTTTTTTTTTTTTCCTCCATCTAGAAGAGTTTCCCCTTTTAAAATTACCTTCCTTTTTCCCTGACGATAAAGACGGAAGTACGAAACTGAATAAGATTCATAAAGTTCAAGGTGGTCTTTTTCACCTTTTTCGCGTGTAACGACGTCAAAGGTTTCGCTGCAATTTTTTTTTTTTTGCCCCCCTATTGGCTCGTCTCTCTCTCTCTCGCTCTTTCTTTCTTCTTTTTTCTCTCTTTTCTGCGATTTTGTATGTGGCATACCGACACTGAATCGCAAGTAATTTGCAATTAGTCGCTCGTCGGAGCGGCGCCACCCCTTTTCCTTTTGACCCTCGAGGCTATACCAAAGCGTCTTCCTCTCCCGCACCCTTTAGTGTACCTCGCCTCTGACTCGTCTCTGTCCTCTTGAGTGTGTAGTTCAAGTCGTGTGGATCTATACAGGTTCTAAAGGATAAAAGCTCTGGCCAACCCCCAGCCACCTATCTTCAGAGAATTAAGCGCAAGAGGCAGGGCCAGCGTCTTTTAGAATGCATCACCCTCTCAAATGTTTACCTCCAATCTTCACGTATGCCAGACGTGGTCCACTACTTGGACAAAAAAGAAAAAAAATTACAAAATTCTTCAGCGCCTTTATTTTTTTTACACATGTTCTTTTTTTACCATTTTCATTTTTAATAAATAATAATAATAATATATTTGGCTAATTATAATAATTTTTATTAAATATTATTTTTGTTCATTTATTTGTTGTAAGGCTCACGGCAAATACAAAGGATAATAAGTAATTTCAAATAAAAAATAGCTTCAACTAAAAGTGGTGACAAATAAAAGTAGCTTCAACTAAAAGTAGTTTCAACTAAAAGTGGCGCCAAATAAAAGTAGCTTCAACTAAAAGTGACGCCAATTAAAAATGGCGCCAAATAAAAGTAGCGCCAATTAAAAATGGCGCCCAAAAAAAAGTAGTTTCAACTAAAAGTGGCGCCAATTAGAAGTAGCTTCAACTAAAAGTGGCGCCAAATAAAAGTGACTTCAACTAAAAGTGGCGCCAATTAAAAGTAGCTTCAACTAAAAGTGACGCCAATTAAAAATGGCGCCCAAAAAAAAGTAGTTTCAACTAAAAGTGTCGCCAATTAGAAGTAGCTTCAACTAAAAGTGGCGCCAAATAAAAGTGACTTCAACTAAAAGTGGCGCCAATTAGAAGTAGCTTCAACTAAAAGTGGCGCCAAATAAAAGTGACTTCAACTAAAAGTGGCGCCAATTAAAAGTAGCTTCAACTAAAAGTGACGCCAATTAAAAATGGCGCCAAATAAAAGTAGCTTCAACTAAAAGTAGTTTCAACTAAAAGTGGCGCCAAATAAAAGTAGCTTCAACTAAAAGTGACGCCAATTAAAAATGGCGCCAAATAAAAGTAGCGCCAATTAAAAATGGCGCCAAATAAAAGTAGTTTCAACTAAAAGTGGCGCCAATTAGAAGTAGCTTCAACTAAAAGTGGCGCCAAATAAAAGTGACTTCAACTAAAAGTGGCGCCAATTAAAAGTAGCTTCAACTAAAAGTTGCACCAAATAAATGTAGCTTCAACTAAAAGTGGCGCCAAATAAATGTAGCTTCAACTAAAAGTGGCGCCAAATAAAAGTAGCTTTAACTAAAAGTGGTGCCAAATAAAAGTAGCTTTAACTAAAAGTAGCGCCAATTAAAAGTAGCTTCAACTAAAAGTGGCGCCAAATAAAAATAGTTTCAAATAAAAGTAGCCTCAACTAAAACTGGCGCCAAGTAAAGGTAGCTTCAGGTAAAAGTGACGCCAATTAAAAATGGCGCCAAATAAAGTAGCTTCAACTAAAAGTGGCGCCAATTAAAAGTAGCTTTATAACTAAATGTGTCGCCAAATGAAAGTAGCTTCAACTAAAAGTGGTACCAAATAAATGTAGCTTTAACTAAAAGTGGCGTCAACTAAAAGTAGTTTCAAATAAAAGTGGCGCCAAATAAAAGTAGCTTTAACTAAAAATAGCTTCAACTAAAAGTGGCGTTAAATAAAAGTAGTTTCAAATAAAAATAGAATAATAAATAATTATACACTGAGAAAAATATGCTGTTGAATCAACAGCAAGGGCATAAAAATTCTTGATTCTGAAGCATATGCTTTGTAAAATATATAGATTCTAGCATATGATTTAGAATCAACAATTTTGGCAGAAATGCTGCATGTCTTTTTTTTAGTGTAAAAATTAAAAACTGTAATTATTAATAACAAAAATATTTACAAAGATCCTGTTTTTTAAAAAAATTTAAAATCTGAGGAATTACAAATATTTTATGTGTTTACAAGAGAAAATAAAATTGTGGAGCGCTTTTGGAGATTAACAAGAGTGATTATTCCCTCGATTACCACCTGTTTTTAAAAAGTCCCACTGGATCTAAATTAGAGAAAATTAAGCTTCACTTGAGCTAATTTTATTTTCCATTTTACCATTCACTTTATTTCAACTAAAAGAGTTTGCAAAAAAAATATTTATTATTTGTTTACCATTCCTGTTCTACTACTTTTACCGACATTATAAAATTGTACTAGATAATTAATTATTAATAGACAACTCTGACAAATTTTTGGTATGGTAATAAAAATTAATTTCTAATCGTTGCGTACTTATTTATATTTTTCCTTCACTCGAAACAGTCCGAAAAAACATGAAACCGAACAAAGTGAAAAGATAAAAGCTAAATCCCTTCAGAGTAATTTAAAAGTGTAAATTTCTCGTCTAAAAAAGAAAAGTTCGTGTTTCGGTACTTAGTGCAATTAAAAAAAAAAAAAAAAAATCGATTCTGCATCTGAATAGTGAGAATCAGCTTTTAAAAGGAAAAAAAAAGCAAAGAAGCATATTATAATAGAAATCTGAAAAAGCTTTTCCTCGAAGTTAATCTCTGATTGGAATTAATAATCACTTTACAACTTCTGTTTCGTTTGTTGTATTGATCCGCATCTGAGTGGCCGAACCTCGGCACTTTTAATTGCATCATTTATCAAGTGGCTCTATCTAGAGTTTACGTTTTTTTTTTTTTTAATTTTCTTTTCAACAGCTTACTTTGTCTTGAATCTTGATGAATGGCTCCGTTTATCTTAATAAGTGGCTGTGCAACGTCGGTCGGTGAATTTAACACACAATTTTCACGAAATTCTCCAACATTTGCTGAATATGAAGAAACTTTTTGACGTGAGTTTCTACTCTGCCGACTGCATGTGATGTCAGTTTAATTGAAATGCTACTTTTCGGAGGAAGTGAATATTTGTTGAGAGCAGTTGTGTTTACTTAATATGTGTAAAACGTCACGTAGAAACAGCACCTGCGGAAATGATTTTTTTTTATCCCCCCCTGGAAAATTAAAAAAAAAAAAAAAAAAAAAAAAAAGAAAAAATTCGAACTAAACTTTTTTACTCTTGATCCTCTTTTTAAAATTCGTACACTGAAATTTCCTGTTAACTTGGCAAAACTATTGTGAACGGAGTTGGCTTGTTTTTGTTGGGGACGAGTTGTAAAATCAGAGAGCTTCGAAAAGTCTCTATCCGCGAGTTGTTCGACCGCAGTAAACTTGCTTTGGAAAGCCTTTAATCTGGGATTTAAAAAAGTCGCGAAAGTTTTTCGAGGTACAAATGGAATGTCGAAGGTTTGTACACGCGGTGGCGGCAACGTTGGCGGCGGCGCCCCATCAGAAGAAAGGAATCAAGTCGAGGCTTTCCAGTCTACTGGCTTCGAGACTCTCCGCTCGACACACTAACTGAAAATAGCACTTGGCTAAAAATACCTACTCAAGTTCGACTTACACCGGGTCGGACCCAACCACTGACTTTTTCAAACCGGGATATCCCTCTCTTTTTGCGTGTATGTGACGTCCGTGCCGCAACAAAAACGAACGCGTATCTACTTCCAACTGGGACACGTTATGGACCAAATGACACAATTTAGCCGAGACGCGGTGAAAACTCAACACATAGATTACAGATAGGTCAAGATAGAAAATAAAATTCAACCAAAAAAGAGAATTTTTTTCGGTAAAAGTTTAAAAAAATAATTTTAATTACTAAATCGAAACCAATTATTAGAATTGATTTTTTGGAATTTTAACTAGAATTTATTCCAAACGAAATATCTCGATTCGTTGATTTTTCTCATACTAGCGGTTACATATAGGTCTGTACGTAATTGATGAAAGCTTCAATAGGACTTTAACAACGACATTCGTCTTTCACTTTCAACACTTTTATCCTCTGTGCGCCGACTGCAAATCAAAAAGTCCATGAAAACGTTCCTCCAGAGAATATAGACTAGATTGACCCGATTAAAAAAAAAAAGTTCTCCACTTTTTTTCAACAGAGTTTCTTGCATTGCTCATGACAGCTTTTTAACTATTTCATTTGGTGAAAAATAAAAAAGAAACTTCATAAATTATCAGACAAATTTATTTGATTCAAATAATCGACTATTCAAATAAATATATATTTACCTAAAGCACATAATTTTATAAATCCGCAGATTTATCAAAAAAAATATGCTTATTTTTGATCGGAAAAACAAAAAAATTGTTTTCTCTTCTTGTAAAACAGTAAAAAAAAATTTAGAAAATGCATGAAATTTATGAATGAAAAATTCCTGACTGGTAAAGAAAAAGTTAGAATAAGATTTTTTCTTTTTTATAAATAATTTTTTTTTTTTTTTGCTACATATGTAATTGCACTGGAGCTTTTATCAATATACATATTTCCATAATTACACTTCAATCACTTCTAAATTAATTAAATTATCCTGCAATTAATTACAATATAATTTCATTCGCAAGAGCTAAATAGAAATTAATGAGAGTGAAATATGAATAATTTTTCGTGAATGTTATGCATACAAAGATATCTAATTATAATGAACAGCTACTTTATATATAATTGGAGAACAAAAAATAAAAATTCTCATTAAAATTATTTTACATCTGAATTTAAAATTTCATATCCTTCATAATTTGAAGGGTAGAAGGGGATAATTTTGATCCCTCCCTCTAAAAAAAATTTATTTGATTCAAACAATCCGTTACTTGACTAAATATTTATCAAAATAATAATTGAGTCAAATTATTTATTTTAAATATACAAAAATTATGGATTCGAATACAATTTATAAAAAAGAAGCCTTTGAATAAATGAATTCCTTGAAAGTGTAGCCAATTAATTAACAGGTGGCTTTTATATCACTCATAGATGCAAAGATAACAATCCGATTTGGGTCTCGGGCAGCAGCAGTTCTCTCTCTCTCTCACACAGACATTGCTTGATAGTCTTGGATAAATGCCAAACTTTCTGTTATTTATGTTAGAAAAAGGCCACATAGTCGACACTACACCTGCACACTTGTTGTTCCAACGGATCAAATCCTATGCAAAAAGAATCGATAATGCAAAACGTGAAGCCAATGAAAAACTGCATTTTACATAAAATCAAAGAAACCAATTTTTTCTTCAATCTTTATAGTGATTTTATCAATAAATGAAAAGTCAAATAACCGATTATTTGAATGAAATAAATTTTCTTTTTATTGTATAGAAGCCCTTAAATAAAAGTAGTTTCAAATAAAAGTAGCTTCCACTAAAAGTAGTTTCCAATTAAAGTAGCTTTAACTAAAAATAGCTTCAACTAAAAATGGCGCCAAGTAAAAGTAGTTTCAAATAAAAGTGACTTCAACTAAAAGTGGCGCCAAATAAAAGTAGCTTCAACTAAAAGTGGCGCCAAATAAAAGTAGCTTTAACTAAAAGTGGCGCTAAGTAAAAATAGCTTCAACTAAAAGTGGCGCCAAATAAAAGTAGCTTCAACTAAAAGTGGCGCCAAATAAAAGTAGCTTCAACTAAAAGTGGCGCCAAGTAAAATTAGCTTCAACTAAAAGTGGCGCAAAATAAAATTAGCTTCAACTAAAAGTGGCGCAAAATAAAATTAGCTTCAACTAAAAGTGGCGCAAAATAAAAGTAGCTTCAACTAAAAGTGGCGCAAAATAAAAGTAGCTTCAACTAAAAGTGGCGCCAAATAAAAGTAGCTTCAACTAAAAGTAGCTTCAACTCAAAGTGGCTCCAAATAAAAGTGGCGCCACTTAAAATGAGCTTCAACTTAAAGTGGCGCCAAATAAAAGTAGTTTTAAATAAAAATAGCTTCAACTAAAAGTATTTTCAAATAAAAGTACCTCTAAATAATAGTTATTTCGAAGCCCCCGAAACTCGTTGAGTTAGCTGATTACGAATCCGATGTTAGTTTCTTAAAATTCAATATGGCGGATCCAATATGGAGGACAAAAATTTTTTTAATTCATTGAATTTTCCAATTTTTGTCATTGTTTTACGAATTCTTAAATTAAACTTTATTTTATGTTTTCTTTTTGGGTATTATTTTGTTTAATTATTACTCTATATATTTAAATATTATAACAATATTTATAGTTTTACGATTCGTAAATTACAGGTTACAAGGATCTGATTTCTGATTATGATTTATGAGTCATTATCCACTAAACTCCTCTTGTAAACACGCTATTTAGTCAGAAAGATATTTGACATGTAAGTGTTGTGATTTATGGATACACATAAATGTAAATGCTCTGTAAGAGCTTTTCAAAATGCATTATGATTATATTGCTCTTCGAGAGTAAAATCGATGACAATTAAAGTCCATTTCACTGTTTTGACCTATTCCCATTTCTATAATAATCTCTTCCCTTTCTATATATTTAGATGCTTAGATATTAAATGTTTCCTTTAAAAAAAAAGAGTATTTTGAATTAAATTTGAATTAGTAAAAAAAATTTAACTAATTTGAATTAATTACTCACTTTTTGCTTTTGAATTAGTAAACTTTAACTAATAGTAAAAAAAAAATTTGTTTACTATCGAATTAGTAAAATTTAACTAATTTAAAATAAAAGTAAAAAGTGAGTCACTAATGGAAATTAGTTTTTTGATCTAGATTTTTTGTTTATAAAAAAATGATGGAGTGTCAGAAAACGATTTTTTAATGAATTAAATACAGATTTTCAAATGGTGAGAGAAGTTTATATGGATGATGGATGAAAGTGTTGGTGGGAAAACGATTATTTATAGAGGATTTTCGAGCTGGTCTAATTAACGAGAATTGACAATTGAATTCGAGTTAAATGTAACTAAACCACGATGAAGTGAATGCAGTACATTTTCGATTGAATCGAAGGTCTTCCCCACATGGCCTCAAATAATATTTACCTACCTGTTTTACGATTTAGTGATATATTTTCGAGAGAAGAATTTCCAAAAAATTTTAAACTGCCCCCCTTAAAAGAATTTTTAAATCATCCTCTTTTAAAAATAGTGCAATAAATTTTTTGAATGTAATTCTTTCAGTATTCATTCCAAAAATTTGGAAATTTAAAAATAATATAAATATTTTAAATAATATAGTAATAATTTTAAAAAAAATTTATTTTGCTTTCTTTTGTTTTGTTAGCTTTGTGAAAAATTTAAATGAAGAAATATTTCATAAAAATATAAAGTTGAAAGAAAAATATGTATTCGTCCTCGACGAATTTATGTTAAATAAAATTCTTCAATTTGAATAATTGAATTTGCTTCCCACCGGGCAAAATTCGATTTGAATGAAATTGGAACTGTAAAGCTTTTCATGTCTACAAAGGTTAACTTTCAGAAGAAGCTGGAATATGAAACAAAGTTGCAGAAAATTAATTGCTTTATTTTTGGAAAGATTCTTTACTCCGTGGATTTTGTCATTTTTTCAATATTTGGAATTAATTAATTTTATTTTTTCTTCACGGTAAAAAATTTAGTTTCTTTTTTTTATCTAAAATTTCTAAAAGAAATATATTTTTAATTAAGATTTACGTTGAAATGATTTTAAATTGTAGGATACATAAAAAAAGGAGTTAAAAAACATTAAATAAATTAAAAACCAATTATTGTGAATAGAAATAAAATTTAATTAAATATATGGATAAAAAAAAGAGTCGCAAAAAAGGACATTGGCTGAGGAAAAAAGAAAAGGTTGTAAGGAGCAAAAAAAGGTTATATTAAGAGGAATCTCGGTTGGCAGAAATCAGAAGAAGTAAAGATATTATTAAGAGATTTTAATCCTTAAACCGTTGAGAGTTGGTGGTACTCTCTCGTTTTCTCAATCTTCCCCATAATCGTACTCATACTCATCGTCCTCATCGTCTTCTTCGTCATCATCGTGCTCCTTGATAATTCCAAGTCTTTTCGCAACGCTTTTCACGTTATTAATGACTTCTTCCTGAACGAGATTGAAACTCATTGCAAGTAGAGCGATTCCAAAAAGCAAATAAAGCGAGCACAAGGCTATTCCCTGCTCGGCGTTGAGTTTTCGTGCAGGTACAAAATCTCCGAATCCTGCAATCATAATATTTACATGAGAATTCAAATTTCATATTAGTTAGCTCTTACTTGGAAAATGAAAAATTCGATTTTCTCCGGTAAATTTACTTTTAAGCATATACTTTATTATATATTAATTAAAAGACTGTTTACATTTCAAGAGGAAATTCATCGCATCCAAAATTGAGTTCGTTATTTATTATTCTTAACTAATTTTCATTATCTAAGAAAGACGTTTTCTTAATTAAAAGACAAGTTTCTATTTTTGATTAATCATATTTGAAAAAATCAATTTTTCGCAAAATAAAATGATTTTTATTTTAAAATAATGGTCTTTTCCATTTTTTACATTAATTAAGAATATATATATAATTTTCCGGAAAATGCAAGTCTCGGTGAAAATAAAGTTGGTTATTAATTATTCTTAACTACTTTTCATTATCGCATTAGAAAGGACGCGTGTTTAATTAAAAGAAAGTTTAAAAACCTATATCTTCTTGGAAAAGAATCACAATTTTCTTTTCCTTCTAAAAAGAACATTTTTCACTGAATATATATATTTATTAGTTTCCCTTATTTTCTTTTCTAAATAGAAAAAAATATTTTCTACTCCAAAAATAAAAATTATTTATATATATGCATTAAAAAGTAAAAGAAATGGAGAATTTGGTTTTAGTTTCGTCTGGAATTCACATTTTATGAGGGAAAAAAAAGGAACAAAAAATCCCCTTAATTTGAACCTTTTTTCCTTAAGGAGTTGAAATCTTTGGTGGATTCCTCTTACCGATTGTGGTGAGTGTAATGAAACAAAAGTAGGCTGAGTCCAGAAAGACCCAATTCTCCCAGTAATTGAAGAGAAAAGCACCACCGAATATATAGCTCACTACAAGAAAGACACAGAGCCAAATTGGCACTGGTTTTATCACAGATCTTCGATCTTGAACTTCAGCCGTTGGATTATAATCGTAATCTACATCGAAATCATCAGCGTAAACTTGTCGGTGAACTGCAAAACCCATTGGTGACATTATTCGTGGCGATGGAGCTTCTCTTCTATAAGGTCGAGCTGAAAAAATTTTTTTAATAATTTTTTTAATAAAAAAAAATTCTTTTATTTGCAAATTCTAATGTTGAGAAAAATAAATTTCCCCCTCCCACGCTTAAAATGAAAGTGAAGATGATATTTCTTGAGACGCGCTTCTTGGCATATTTTGTGTAAATTATGCAAAAGATTTATACTTATGTAGTAGTTTCGAGGACGTCTGGATCTTGTGGAGGTGGGAAGCCTCCTAGGATTATCCATCTCAAGGAAAACTGAAGCAGGCCGCGCCGTTTGGTTCATTCCGGATCTATTATTCGTGGCACCCTCCACCGAGAGACATCTTCTTGGCAACGATCTCGTTACTAACGTGGGTGTCCTTTCTTCTTCTTCCTCCAGGTCGTCCGGAACTTCTATTTTGCCGCAAGCTTTCTCTGAATTCACTGTATGCAAATATATAGAGCGATAAATACTTGGAACTATCTCTCTCTCTCTCTTTCTCACCATCTTGTGAATTTTCTTCACATAAGCGCTTATTATATTATTACAAAATATGCCTCAATTTTTCTAAATTAACATATTCTTTGTTTACACCAAAAAAAACAATTTATTTTAAATAATCTTTTAATTATTTAAATATTTACTTGAACTTAAAGCTTCAACTAAAAGTGGCACCAAATTAAAGAACCTTCAACTAAAAGTGGCGTCAAGTAAAAGTAGCTTCAACTAAAAGTGAAGCCAATTAAAAATGGCGCCAAAAAAAAGTAGCTTCAACTTAAAGTGGCGCTAATTAAAAGTGGCGCCAAATAAAAGTAGCGCCAATTAAAAGTAGCTTCAACTAAAAGTGGCGCCAAATAAAAATAGTTACAAATAAAAGTAGCTTCAACTAAAACTGGCGCCAAGTAAAATTAGCTTCAACTAAAAGTAACGAAAATTAAAAATGGCGCCAAATAAAAGTAGCTTCAACTAAAAATGGCGCCAACTAAAAGTATTTTCAAATAAAAGTAGCTTCAACTAAAAGTGGCGCCAATTAAAAGTAGCTTCAACTAAAAGCGGTACCAAATAAATGTAGCTTAAATTAAAAGTGGCGCCAACTAAAAGTAGCGCCAATTAAAAGCAGCTTCAACTAAAAGTGGCGCCAAATAAAAGTAGCTTCAACTAAAAGTGGCGCCAACTAAAAGTATTTTCAAATAAAAGTAGCTTCAACTAAAAGTGGCACCAATTAAAAGTAGCTTCAACTAAAAGCGGTGCCAAATAAATGTAGCTTAAATTAAAAGTGGCGCCAACTAAAAGTGGTACCAAATAAATGTAGCTTAAATTAAAAGTGGCGCCAAATAAAAGTAGCTTCAACTAAAAGTGGCGCCAAGTAAAATTAGCTTCAACTAAAAGTAACGAAAATTAAAAATGGCGCCAAATAAAAGTAGCTTCAACTAAAAAAGATGTGCCAAATAAAAGTAGCTTTAACTAAAAGTGGCGCCAATTAAAAGTAGTTTCAACTAAAAATGTCGCCAAATAAAAGTAGTTTCAAATAAAAATAGCTTCAACTAAAAGTGGCGCATCTGTAAGCAATTCCTTTTTTTCCGTGTATAATTAATAATATATATTTTTTGATTTTTATAATAAATAATTTAATGGTAAATATTTTTTTCGGAATTTTAGGCTGAAAAATGGCCAATTTTGCAATAAGCGAACACTGAATAAAAAAAAAAAGGTATTATATTTTTTTCTGAAACCTCTATCAGTGGTAAGAGTCCTCCATTTTGAGTGAACGTTGACTGGTTCATCGAAATCATCGAGAGCATACTTGTTGAAGAACACAGGTGAACGATCATTATCATGGGGGTTGACCAATAATCGCCTATCAAGTGATTGCGTTGTCAACCTGGCGGGACCTGAAAATTTAATTCGAAGGGAATCAACTTCACACCTTTAACCAATTTCCTTATCAATTTACGAAAAAAAAATTGCTATTCCACACACACATTTTCGCTTGAAAAATTTTAAATCACAGGAAAAAAAAACTTATAGGCCTAAAAGAGAATTATTAAAAAATTGTTAAAATTAAAAATGCCAATTATGTAAAATTAATAATTAATTAAAATTGAAATAATTTTATATATGAAAAGAATATTTCATTTGAAAAGAAATATTTTTTCAGACAAAGAATGAGAGTGGAATATAATTTTCATTAATTAGAAAAAAAAGTTTTTTGAACTAATTTTCAATTAGGAAAATTAACTTTGTACCTCTGGTCATCTTCGGAGACGAGACAGGAACATCGGAATACCTGGAGAAAGTCGACTGCCTAGTATCTACGTTCAAGTTTGCTCCGGTTGATGGAAGATAAGACCCCGGCCTCCTCTGATCAATACCATCGTACCTTTGAATCTGATACCTAAGGTATATTATAATAAAAATTGAATTTTAATTTGTTCTTACTAAATTATTATTATTTATTAAATATTATTGTTATTTCATTAATTTATTCAATTAAAAAAAAAATCACCTGCATTCAGTATCGGAATACGATGTACGTAATGTACTTCCAGAAAGTCCCAATGCCGAATCAGCGGATCTTTGACTAGTTCGTATAGATCGACGAAAAGATGGTGCTCGATTTTCCGAATATCTTCTAAAAATTTAGATGAACTTTTCTTAATTTTTATTAAAAAACGGCAAAGTAATTTGTATTTTTAAAAATAATTAAAAACTAAACAAATTACAAAATTGTGATTGAATTGGCGATTTTTTTTCTGAAAGTTTCACTTTCATTAAAAGTGAATTAATAAAATTGTTGTTGTGAAAGGACAACAAATGAATGTAATAATTTAATTATGTGGACGAAGAAGAAGAAGACAGGATATACATACGAAGATTGACGGACAGATTGTGCTCTGGAGAAATTTTTACGAGGTCTCTTTTTCTTTGGAGGTCGAGTACACACGTAACAGCATACCTTCCAATACAAAAACCTGCGAAGCACACGTTGTCGAGAAAAATTATTTGAAATATGTCAGTATGAAATTTTCACGTTCTTTTCTTCGTTGTTACACACTAACACACAAAATTTATATAGAGTTTTGAAACATATATCAGACTCTAAATCTGAATTAGTGAAAAACTAATTTAAATTAGTAAAAATTTTCACTAATTTTTAGTCACTTTTCAGTAAAAGTAAAAAATAAAAACTACTAAATCAAATTAGTAAAAATTCTCACTTTTAACTAATTCAAATTTAGAGGGGAATTTACTATACTAGCGCAGTACTGTGCCAGTAGATAATTTAGATAAACCACACTTACAATTTAAATTGTATTAAATAAAATATGATAATTTATGTTAATAAAAAATTTAATAAATTAAAATCTTTCAATTAGAATCTCAATTAATATCACTTATTGTTCACTAATATTACAATGTCATGATGAATGAAAAAGCAAATCAATAATAAAGTCAATATTTGGAGGGTAACTTTTGATTATTAAAATTTTTTGGAACTTTTAGGACTAGGAATTACTGCGTAATAATGGAACAAGCTCGTATATTCGATCATTATTAAAAGCCACGGTAATGTCTGCTAAAATTCGACCGTATTAATGCGCAGCATTTAATGAACTAAAAGCTACTGCATAGTCGAGGCATCTATAATTCGAAGAGTAGAAATTTGTATTCCACTGTAGTGGGTTAAAGCTTAAAAATTTATCGTCCTGCTTTTACGATGTTGGAATAATGCAAATGAACAGGACTAAATCAACACAATCAGTTTTATAAATTATTTTCATCTATGCCGCCTTTTTTTAACAACAAATTTCGAAACAAAAAAAAAAACTTTTTTTTCAATTTGAGAATTTTTCCATTTTCTAAACAGAAGCTACACAATTTAATAATACTTCCATATAAAAAAAAATACAGCAAATAAATTAAAAATAATTTTCTATTACAAAAACAAAAATTTGTCGGTTTTTTTAAAGATCCAATATGGCGGACAAATATTCAAAAATTGTTATTCTGATGTAGCGGCCTCGAAAACCTATGTAAGAAATTTCAAACAAACACACATTCACATGCAAGATTGCGAAAATTAAACTTTTGTTATAAAAGGCGCTCATTTGCAAGAATGTTTCAACAATAAAAAACCAATAAAAATGTAATGTTAGAGGTAGTAGTGAAAGCATTTAAAAATACCTTACATTTCATTCGTTTACCAAATGTTTTTTTTTTTTGTAATATGAAAATCGATTTTGCATAAAATTTTATGGATGGAACGTTCAAATGTCAATTGGAATATGAAAATATAATAAAAAGAAAAAAAAAGAAAAAAAAGTTGTACCTGAAGCTAGATGCCATGATGTCACCGATGTTCGAAAGACATAAGAGCATCAGAGGTATACCCAGTATGGCATAAAATATTGTTACGACTTTACCATTTCGAGTTTTCGGTGCAATATGGCCATAGCCTACAGAACAAAAATTACAGCTGGGTAAAGATTAGAATGGACTATATTTTTTTTCTTTCTTTCTTTTTTTTTTTTTTTTTGATGGGGTAAAAAAAAATCCGTTTATCAGTGTGCTTCGTTCTCAGCAATAAACTAACGAGTCAATGACATTTTTTTTATGTTCCGTCGCTAGTAAACTTTGATGAATATTTATTTTCAAAAGAAAAAAGATTTATTAAATTCTGATAAAACATATATATTCCCGGTAAACATGGCATAAAAATATCTATTGTATTTCTTAATATATACAAGTAATTTTCACAGAAAATAATTTTTTTTCTCGAATTAAAATAAATATATTAAAAATTTATAACTAGTATAGAAAATAGTTATAATTAATAGTAAATTTTTAATCTCTTCTCTAAAAAGAAAAGAATTTATTTTTCTTTACAACTTTTTTTGGCTAAAAGTAATTTAGTTAAATAATTTTGGTTGAAAGTATAATTTTTTTTCTACAAGAAATATTTTCGTCTAATGAAAAAGAGAAATTTTATTCTCTAAATATAATTCTCGTTTTGTTGAGGTCATTATCTGGTTTTAATATGAGCCCACTTCGTCACCTTGATTTTTAGCTATTCATTATTCGCTTTTTGGTTGGCTGGGTACGGGTTGAGGCCAAGGTGGTGAAATCCCACGTATGTACATACATACATATATACGTGTATATGTATGAGATTTATGGGATATGATTTGTACGCGGATGGCAAGGACGATAAGGAGGACAAGGTCTCCTCGAAGAAAAGAAAAAGATGAGTGATGTCAAAAAGGAGGGAAAATGCAACGAGAAGGATAGGAAAAAAAAGAAGAAGAAGAAGAGTCGATGGAAGCTGCTGGGGCGGGGCCAATTGATTCTTTCACCGCATAAAAATTTACATTGATGGATTGTGTTCCATGAGAAAAATTTCTATTTCCATCTTTTCAACTTTCAATCAAATAAATAACAAAAAAAAAAAAAGGAAATCTGTGCTCCTTGAAAAAATGTGCTAATGTAGAATAAGATACTGGTGTTCCGAAAAAAGGATTCAAAATTTTATAACGAGATTTTTTTCTGAGCGCGACAATATAGAAAAAAAAATATTTATTAATTTTTTGCAATTTTTTTTATCTAATTTATTTTTTATTTAATAAATAATAATAATAATAATAATAATAAAAGTAGTAGTAGATTAATGGAAAAATAATTACAATAACTTTATATTAGTTATGAAAGAATTACAAATAAATGAAATTGCGGTAAAAGTTGCTCTCTAAGAAGCGGCATTTATTTTCTTCTCGTAAATTAATTTTTATTATCGTTTTTTTTTTTTATCGGATGAAGAAACTCGTTCAAGGAATGAAAATTGTTATATTTAAAACTTCCGCGCATTAAAATAAATAAAATTATAATATTGAACAATAAAATAAGATCAGACTTGTATATATATAAAAAAAAAGAAAACTTCAATAACTATATTATTAATAAAACAAAAGTTAGCGAAATGAATAAAAAAAAAAGTGATTCGACAAAGTATTACAAAATCAAGGCAATAAAAAATATTCATCGTAAATAAGAGAATCAATTTTGCAACATATCAACGATTTAAAATCCAAAAAGAAACATAAAAGAAAATTTAAAAAAATATTAAAAACAGAAATATTATAAATAGTTAAAAATTTGGTAAAAAAAAAAAATTACAAATTGTAATGGAAAAATAAATGTACGAATGTGCGTGACAAATTGAATAAATGGATTTAAAGTAGATGTTGAAGAAATTTTATATGGAATGGAATACATGAATTTTTTTTTGTTGAGAATGACAAATTGGACGTTTACAATCCAACATAGGCGAGTATATAGTTAATAGATAAATGTCATTTTTTGCGTGAAAACAAAAAAAAAAAAAAAAAAAAAAAATGCAAAAGAAAATTGAAAAAGCGATGTCTATCACGTAAAACAGACCGCACCCGCAATGAAGAGAAGATCAATCTAGACAAAGAATGGAACCGGATATCCGAAACGTTCGATCCGATTGCATCCTAAAAGTCGGTCACGCGTCACGCACCTTTGTCAGAAGTCATGGTATGTATATATATATATATGCTGTTACCGTAAAACGAGGAGGGATTCTCATTACATGTCATCTTCACACGCTTTACTTTTGTCTTTCCTTGCAATATCTGCAGTTATTACAATTTTCCTTTTTATTTCCCCACGCAAAAGAGTTTTCATTCACCTTTTATCCAGAAAAAAATTTCATTATCTTTTTCCATTACTTCTCAAACGATTTTTATTGCTTTCAATTTTTTAATAATTTTTACCTTTATAACATTTTTTTATTTTAATGTCTTTTTATTATATTCTTTACATTATTTTCAAATTTCAATTATATTTTTATAATTCTTTTAAAAAATAAAACGACTTTTCGTAAATAAATTTAATTGTATTGTAAAATAAAAAATTAATCAAAATTTGATTTTAGCGATTATTTTCAGAACCTGTTGAATTATGTAAAACAATATTTAAGTGAAATTAATCAATGCGTAATATGAAAATTTCAAAATAAATTAAAGAGCACAATAATATATATATATATATATATACTCGAAGAAACAGTCAATTTAATTGTGTTTTAACAAAATGATATTTTCTCGAAACAAAATTCATGTTTCAAAATTAATTTAAATGATGTATTACAATATTCGTTTCGGGATCGATTATAAACATTTTAAACAAATTAGCATTTCGTTCACTTTACTCTATATATAAACGAGAGCTTTTAATCGAAAATTATATTGAAAACAACGTAATATATAATTAAGTTGAAAGTTAATTAAGAATCCTCGAAAATTTACAAACGTTTATAATTTCTCTGATAAATTACATCATTATTGAATTTAATTAAATTTAAAAAATTCTTTTAAAATAAAATTTTTCCAATATTAGGTAAAATATTGAAATTAATTTAATAACAAAATTCTTTTTTACTATTTTTACTTTTTTTTTACTATTTTATTGCATTAATTTCTCAATTGTTATCTATTTATTTATAAGTTGATTTTTTCTCAAAGAAAATATATAGGTACTGGTTTTTCCATTTCTATTTTTTTTTTCTTAATAATTTATGTAATTTTAAACAAATGTCTTAAGAAACAGGGGAATCCCCAAGAATAAAAAAAAAATTTGGTTCATTTACGAGTGAATGAGTAGCCTACGAAGGTCTTTTCAACAGGGAATGGCTATCGTCTACAATTTGTAGCAATATATATAAGCATTCGCTTTCACTTTCGTTTAGTCGCATTTCGCGGATTTGTTAGCGATCATGTAAAATCAGTCATGTGACAATTGTTCAATATTTATTTTTTTCTATTTAATTTTTCAAAATAAATCAATTGATAATCAAATTTATTTAATTATTTATAAATAATACATTCAAAAACAATAAATATCGAAAAATACAGTATTGTGAAATGTTTAATAAAAATAAAATAATAAAAAATTGATAAAATTTTACTAAAAATTTTGTTTTAAATTTTATTTAATAGTAAATTAAAAGAATTATGTCAATTTTTTCGGTATAATTGGAAAATTATAAATAAAACGTGAGAGAAAAAAAATTCGTGTGGTTTTTTTTTTTTTTTAATTTTTTTTCTGCAACTCATTGTAAATAATTTTATAGGCCTTTTTTTTGGCCCCGCTTATAAAAATGTGTAGGATCAGCATTGCTTTATTTTTCACCGCTATCGCTTTTGCCATCGCCCTTCATGATGAAAACAAATGGGTTTGGAACGACGACGGAGAACCAAGAAATCGAGATGAAAAGAGAGCGAGGTGAGCACAGTTTCCGCTTTTGGTCCACTCAGTGTGCTTTTCTCCGAGAAAACATCTAAGCTCTTAGTTGCGTTTCTTTTTTATTTTACTTCTTCTTCTTCTTCTTTCAAAACAACTTTTTTTGAAAATGAAAACATAACTGACGGGGGCAAATGGAAAAGAAAGGACAATGTGAAACACGTCAATTGACAGTTTAACTTTCTAACTAGGAAAAAAAATTTTTTTTAAAGTTATTAAATTAAATTAAAATATTAATTTAAAAGAAATTATTGTATTTCTCTGAAATATAGGTACCTTGCAAATGACTTTAATCTAAACTCCAATTTTGGAAACAACCCTTTTAATGAATACAGACCACAGTTTGGAGGATCCTTCGGTCATGGACCTCATGTTGGTCCAAATCGAGAGGAAGTTTTGGTGGGACCCGGTGGACCAACCGGAATTTTGAATAGGTATATAATTCGAAAACTGTAACTTATTTTTATATTATAAAATTCTTTCAAGTAGGTATAAAAAATTATTTCAATATTTTAATTAACAATAATTTATTTTCTTTATACTTTCGATTTCTATTTCTGCAAACAAAAAAATTATATTTTTATCTAAAAAAGCGTTTTTTTTCTGAAAGATGCAATTTTTTATTCACATTCAAATGTGTTTTAGGCCAAATGGCGGAAGGGAGGATTTCCTGGGACCCGAGGATCCCCGATATCGACAATTTGAAATTTGTAAATGCGCCTACAGTTTTAATTGTCCTTCGACAGGTTTGAATTTCGTGAGTTTTTCATCAAAAACAAATTTTTTTTTTTTAAAGCATGTTTCTGTCTGGGAATTCTCGACCGTATGGGTCGAACTCTAATGTCTAAATGATATCGGCATCCAGCTTATACTGAAATCTATTACGTGACCCCACTGCGAGATTCCAAATGGATTTCTCATTGAACGAAATTATTTCTTTAATAACTTCTGTAAGCTCTGAAATTGGACATTAATGTTACATCATAAATCCACACACATAAATAATTTCAGCACCATTTTTTATTTTCACACTATAGGGAAACAAAAAAATTATATTTCTATCAAATTATTATTTTCAATGAATAATAGTAAATAATCAAGTTAATTTACCATTTTTTTAGTATTTTTTTCAATGAAATAATTGATATTTTATAAATGACCAAGAAAATTTTTTTGATTTTAGTATAATCGGTTTCTCGTCTATTATTATCTATCAAATAAATATTTATTTGTATCAAATAATTCCATTTTTTACTAATTAATTTTTATTTGAATTTCTGTATTTGAAACAAATAAAATTTAATTAATGGAAAAAAATCTTTATCTGGAACAGCTATATGTTTCTCTAGAATAGCGAAAATTTTCTGTTTTAGTGAAATATATTGCTATTCCAATGAAATTTATTGCTGTTCCAGGTATAAAAATTTTTTTCCTGTAATTTTTGTATTTTACAGTACTTTGTACGAAAGGGTTTTGCCATATATAAATAAATAAAAATTATTTGGTATCAGGAAAATATTTTTTTCAAAATAGTGAAATATTTATTTGAATAAAATAAATATTTTTTTTGAGCATAATGAAATAATTTTTTGAAAATAATAATTATAAATATTTATATTATAAATCGTCTCTAGGGCACTTGCTCGCAAGGTAAAGCGATCTGCTGTTACAATAGCAACAAGTTTCCTGGTCTAACGCCTGCAGGAAATCCCAGTTATGGCTCCCACGCGTCTTATCCGGTGAGTGTGACTGAAGAAGCTTAGGAATAAGCTTATATGCTTATAGGCTGTAATTTACTATATGCTTTAGATTCAGCAGCATCAGATTTATCTTCTTGGCATATTAAGCTGACTTGATATTTTACTTCATTCTTTTTTTTGCCCCCTTATCTCTTTTTTTTATTTTCCTCAAAAGATATACAAATCCTTCTCTTTCAAAAAAACTGAATAATTGAAAATAATATACTTTTTGGTTAGCCTGACAAACTATTCAATTTTTCATTTAGTTTTTTTCAAAGTTGCCAACATAATAATTAATTAATAATAATTTAATAAAAAAAAATATATATAATCGTATCTTTTATATTCTCATTTATTTTTGTGCAAAAATTCTAGTTAAGAGAAATGATGAAAAATGATAAAATATATATAATATAATGAAAGAGAGAAGAATATAATAGTATAATAACAGCAAGAAGAAAGGTACTTTTTTTTAAAAGCTTCTATTAACTTTTATTCCCTTCTTTCTTTTTTTTATCACTTTATCTTATACAACATTCTTTAAAAGCAATCCACAAGTTTTATGCAATAATAAATATTCCGCAAAGATAAATGAAATATATTTTTCAAAAACAAGTTCAAATCTTGTTTTATTCTTTGTGAATTAATTTTTTTTTTCTTAAAAGGAAAATCCATTCTGGTGTAATATATTAATTACGTTGAATAAATTTTCCTTCTAAAAAAGAAAAAAATTTGTTCAATGAGTGAAAAATATAGTAAAGAGATGATATTTATTGATTTTTTTTAGATAAGACCAAATTTGGGGCAGGTGAATTTTTTTCCACAAAATTATTACGGTAGACCTCAAGGCAATTTCCATGGTGATTACCAGGGTCATCTAAGCGGACATTATCGTCCAGATGATATTAATTATGGCCGACCATATGGCGGGAGGCCATACGGACCCGACAGATACGAAAATCAACGACCTTTTAACCCTCACAGTGAAGTTGATTTTTATTCACGTTCTGCAAATAAAGACCCACTAAAAGATGACGCAAGCGCGACGAAAAAATCTACCGAGAATTAAAACTGATTTCCTAGTATTTCCTAAGTAAATACCTTCTTTCTCGTATATAGCCAAAAGGAGAGAAAATTCAATTATCATTAAACATGTTTTTTTTAATCTCGTCGAGGAATTTTTTTTTTCTATTCCCTTTAATCTTGTTCAATAAATAAAATTCATTTTCAAAATTTTTTTTATGAAATGAAAATTAATTGAAACATTTTCTTTTTCTTTTTTTCCAATGTAAAAATCGAAATAGAAATAAAAAACTTTGTTTGTAAATAATAATAATGTTTCTCTATAAAATAGTGAGAATTAGTTTTTTCTAATTCAAATTAGTAGAAATTTTTACTAACTCTTTAGTAAAATATTATCGATTTTTTTAGTTTTAGTAAAAAATCACTAAAAATTAGTATTAAAAATTTTCACTAATTTTTTGTATATTACTAAATCAAATTTAGTTTACTAAAAAATTTAGTAAATATATATTAAAAATTAGTGAAAATTTCTATTAATTTTTGATATATTACTAAATTTTTTAGTAAACTATTACTATTTGATTTAGTAATACTTTTTTTTTAAATAAAAAGTATAAATTTAGTAAATTTTCACCTATAAATAAAGGAATTCTGACTAATTAAAATAATTAGAAATGTGAAATAAACGATGATTATGTATATACATGTAACAAGAACTCACCAATGGTAGTAATAACAATGATGGAATAAAATAGTGCTCCAGCAAATGTCCATTGAACATTATTCACCTCCTCGTTTCCATCCCATCCCTCCTCTTTCATTTTCTTTAGCAGATTCGTCTCAAAGATCTGCGAACGATCATAACTCCGGATGCAATTAAAATTTTCTTTTAAGATGAAAGAACGAGACTTATTTAAGCAGAGGGCAAAAAAGAAGAAGAAGAAGAAGAAGAAGAAGAAGAAAAAAAAACGAAAAGTTCCATTTACCTTGAGCTTATCCATGGCTCCGATCGTCCAATTCTCTTCCATTAACACCTTTGAGTCCAACGTCATCTTCCACAGCTTCTGCGTCATATTTCCTCGAAGATGTTTAATGCTCTTTTTAACCTGACAAAAAACACGTCTTGAGCGTATGACACTTTTCATGTTGTCAAGGCATTTCAAGTGTCTCGATTATTATTATATCCATACAGCGCCAGGGATTGAATAACAAGCTAAAGGACTTTTGCAATTAAGAAAAATCACAGGATCATATTTCTAAGTGCACTCTTTTTTTTTTTGCTCTCTTTCTTCTTCATGCCTTTTTTTCAATCAAGTAGAGTCCACTACTCTCTCCCTCAACTTCTCCGATAGCTTCTCGGTCTTTATTTGCAGCAAATTCTTTTTAAATGGAATAAAACCAATTTCACGATTCTTTCAAAAAAAAAAAAAAAATTTTAATTTATTTTTTTCTGACATATTATTTGATTCAAGTAAAAATTATTTTAAAATAAATATTATTATGCAAATAAAAATTATTTTATACGCAAATAAAAATTATTCGATACAAATAAATATTCTTATTTGATAGTAAAGTAGACGATTATTTTAGTAAAATAATTTTTTTTCGCAAATGGAAAAACGAATAAAGTTACTTTTACTACTTTAAAAGTAAAACCGAAACTGTCCGTAGCTTCTGCGCATTTCTGTCAATTTTTACTCCAGAAATAGTAAAATTTACTGCGAAAATAGTAAAATTTACTCCGAAAGTAGTAAAAATTATTTCGGACCTAGTAAATTTTACTATTTCTGAAGTAAAAATTGCCAAAAATGCGTAGAAACTGTGGGCAGTTCCGGTTTTACTTTTAAAAGTAGTAAAAAATTACTTTATTCATTTTTCCATTGTTCTCTGTGCAGTTGCCATAAATTTTAGACAAATTAATTAATTTTTCTCTAAATTTCAATAAATATAATATGATTATTAGTATTTTAATCCAAAAATTGTCTAATTAAAATATGTCCATCCCAAATAATTAACGATTGAATTTAAAACTGATTAAAATATAATTCGTCGATATAAATAAATGAAAATGATTTAAACAAATGTTATCAAATTAACAAAATTACATCCAAATGAGAAAGAGAGTGACAGACAGACAGACAAAGAGAGCAAGTGACCCTTTTTCAAGCATTTACGGATTTAATTAATTAATCAATTTATAAACTAATGCTTCCAAGAGTTTGCAATTTATTTTCTGTTATTGAATAAATACCGGTAGTTAATAATTTGTGAAAATGAATAAATCAACAATGGAATATTGTATGTGCGTTATTATTAATTGGATATGGGTCTTTCTCAATAATGCATACATTAATCAACAAAGCGTGCATAAATCGTGTAGTCGATATACGTATATATATATATATATTTATATAAATATATATTGTATTATATATATACCTCGGGATTGGTCAAACGATCGATAAACACTAAACTGTACCTGCATGCTTCAAATCGACGAAAATAACGAAGATAAACAGCTTAAATTGGATAAAAGCGGTTCTCAAATTATATAACAAACAAGTTTCACCGAATCTATAAACCGCCTAAAGATACATTAATGTTGGAAAAGTTGACGCGATTCATCAATTGATGTTTATTTCCATCAAAATTGATGGCCTTTCTCTTCCCCTTTCCTCTCTCCTATGAAACTCAAATAAACTTCAACATTAATCAAATTTGAATACAGATTTTTTTTGTTTTGTTTAAGATTAACATTTTTATTTATTTTTTCTTTCTTTTTTTTGTAATTTAATTTTATACTTCATTATTATATTTATTCGTTTTAATGTTTAATAAATGGAAAAATGTATTCATTTTCTATCTTTAATGATAGTATATATGTATATAGATAAAGCTGAAAAGTCGCGATATTCCTGAAATATACCCCGGGGGATTTCGAGGGATTATCTTTGAAATTATTAGAAGAATCTGAGTTTCATACATATTGCAGCGAAATAAAAAAAAAAAAAAAAAACAATGTCGATACTCGTACATATTTTTATATTCATCTGTGCGAAAGGAATTTTCGTTTAGTTTCAGTGAAAATTGATGGAACAAAAGATATGAACATAAACATTTTGTTTTATTTAATTGTACTGAAATTCTGATTTAATTTTTTTGTAAATTTATTTTCAATTTAAAAAAATTTTTTTTTTATCCATTTACATATACGTATTTAAACTATAAGTTAAATTTTTTGATATGTAAAATTATTTAGAAAAATTTTCTAAAAGTTTTGTTAAAAAGAAGAAAAAATTATATATTATATATATATTAAAGCGGTTTATTCTTTTTCAAAAGAGAACTAAATTTAAATAATTTTAACATTTTTTTCATGTATTTGCATATATACGAATTTATAAATGAAAAGATAAATTTTCTATATAAAATTATTTCAAACCAAAATTTTCGAAATACACTAAAAAATTTTTTATATCTTTAAATAGAAGTTATGAATATGAAAATAAAAAAAAAAAAGCAAGTGTGAAAATTATTTGCAGAATAAACATGAACGTGGAGATTCATTCGTCAATAAGAGGAAAAGGCAAGCAGACTTGCGAAGCAGTTGATATAGAATTGGAATTTGTTCCGGTTATTCAGATATTTATGGGTTTTTGGCTTTCATGTTAAAGAACAGAAAAAAAAGAAGAAATGAGAATAAAAAAAAGTCTTGTAAAAATAGTTGGTACAGAGATGAGTTCATAAATAATGAAATTTTGTCATTTTGTAACCCCTTCGACTATACAGCAATTGAATTTCAATGGTATATTTTTTGTATTTCAGTAGTAAAACCATGTTTTAGTCAGACCAACTTAACAAATAGATAGTAAAAATTATTTTCAGTGAAACTTTTTAGTAACGTTTTGCGTAATTATTGAGGCGGTAAAATACGGTTTTATTCAGACTTAGCATATTATACTAAAACTATTAATATTTTACTAAATAAATTATAGTGAAAATTTCTAATTAGTAATTTTTTACAAAAGTAATAAAAAAAATGTTACTAAATCAAATAGTAATATTTTATTAAATTAGTGAAAATTTCTACTAAATTTTAGTAATTTTTTTACAAAATTAATAAAAAACTATAAATTAAAAGGTAATATTTAATTAAAAAATAGTAAAACTACTCATTTGAATTAGAGAACCAATTCTAAGTATCGATTGAAACACTAAAAGCTGGAATAAAGCCCTCCCATGGGAAAGCCTTTTCGTTAGTATTTGCCTCTTTATTTATTCCGTACTTTGAAACCAAAATGAAACTCCTTTTACCAGTAAAACAGTGGTACATGTGAACATTGTTAGTGTTTATATATTCAAGTCGTAAGTTGAGTATTGAGAAGCTTTTTCAAGTCGAGGAATTGTGAAAAAAAAAATTGCTGGTAAGTTCACCAGTGTATTGCCTAAGGGGATTCACATGTTCAAAAACCTGTTCGAAATTCGTGTTTGAGATATATCTATATATTTACTTCTTGCTCATGGTTTGCTTCGAGAGATACAAAAGCGTGGGCTCCCAAAACGCAATAGGCGACCACGAGAGATACCAGGCTCACATGGGAGAAAACGCACTTGCAGAATTTCCATAGTAGACGTAAGAATCTCAAACACCTCGACGGCTTTTCCACATCCATCGAATCAACTGCATCAAGTCGAGGTGGCATTTTATATTGTCGTCGGAGTTGAGAAATTTAAATAACGATCACATCCCGTTCGATTTGAATTTTCCATTCATGTCACAGATCAAACTTATATACTTTAAACACCTTTTTTTTGTTCACACAAAAAAAAACAGTTTAATTTACTCTAAAAAGTTCTGGAATTAATTTTTAAATCAATTTTAATTTTAAAAAAAAAAGTCAAAATTTTTTCAAAAAAGGAAAACGTTCTCCACCGTTCTAATTTTTTTACCATTTGTCTCAGCAATATTCAATTTCTAAAAATAAGTAAATATTTAAATCATATTCAACTTAGTTCATGGCCTATAAATCTGTCAAAATAATACCGAGGCAATAGACATCTTACATATAGTGTTTAGTTTTCTCATTTATTTTCCCACTCACTTTCCCATTAAACATTGTAAACCATTTTACAAATAAAGTTTCACTATTTTTATTCATCATAAATAAAACGCACTGAAATTCACTCTATTTTTATAAAAATAAAAATAAATTTGAAAATTCTTTTGTAGTTTAAAAATTTAATTTTATATAAAATCAAAAAAAAAATTATTTTTCATATTGCCTTATTAAAAAATTTATGGAACAAAAAAAAGTTTGTTTTTATCATTTTTCCGATATGTAACTATATAGAAAAAAAAGAAAATTTTTGTTTTAAAGTTATATACGCGTGAGATGATTAGAAATGAACGCCGATATATTTTAGAATGACTTCCGTTCAGTTATGTCGTGAGCGATTTCGAGACTAAGAACTACATGCATGGTACGTGAGCATTTGTGTATCGCGTGGGACGTGCCAAAATTATCCTCTACCTAATATCTAATACAGCGCGATCAACGTAGAAAATTGCCTCTGCTGCGGTAATTTCATGGCGAATTGTCTTGTAATAAAAGTGTATCCCAAACACCATTTTCCCACTATATATATACGAATACAATTGAGTTCACACCAATTGCTGCGCAAACACATGAAAATTGTTATTACACAAACACTAAAAGTGACAAAAAAAATATGCTAAATTTATTGCCACTTTGAAATAATTCAAATACTTTTCCTACAATTTTGTTCTTTATTCGATAGTTTTTCGAAATAAATTTCAATCAATTTTAACAGGTATTAGAAAAAAAATTTATTTTATTCAAAAATTAAAAAAAAAATTTATCAAGTAAATGATTACTTGAGCCAAATAAATATTTACTTGGACTAAATAAATATTTACTTAACCAAATAAATATTTACTTGGACCGAATAAATATTTACTTAACCAAATAAATATTTACTTGTACCAAATAATTTTTATTTAAATTGAATAAACTGTATTTGAACCAATAATTTCTGTATTTAAAACAAATATCATTTAATTGACTCAAATAAAAATTATTTCGTTCAAGTACCTTATACCTACCTTTTTATAATAATCAAACAATCGATTATTTGAATCAAATAAATTTTGGTGTTTGGTTTTATGTAGTAAAAGTATGTTTTAATCAGACCGACTTGACTTAAAAAAATTTTAATAGTAAAAGTTATTTTCAGTAAAACTTTTTTAGTAACTTTTTACGTAATTATTGAGGCAGTAGTAAAAGACTGTTTCAGTCAGACATGGCATTCTCGAGTCAATGCAATTTTAAACTGGAAAAAAAATTATTTGATTCAAATACTCGATTATATTAAACAAATATTTATTTGCATGAAATAATTATTTGTATAATTTATTTAATTCAAATAAAAATTATTTGGTTCAAGTAAATATTTATTTCAATCGAATAATCGAGTATTTGAATCAAATAAATTTTTTTACCACTCTAAAAGCAGTTTTGAAAAAATTTATTTGATTCAACTAAATTGAATTTTTTTAAAATACAAAAATTCAAATAATTATTTGGTTCGATGAAATTTCTCTCAAATTCTCTAAAATTGAATTACACAATGCACAAGGAAATGCTATCAAATACTTAAAAGTTTAAATTAAAGCAATGCGACCCTCACACATCGTAAAAGCTTTCACTAAAGAAGAATTGTCAAAATTGTTTTGACAGCTTGAAAAGTTTAAATCTGTAATAATTAATTAATGACTGCACCTAATTTTCCTTATATAGGAGAATTTTCCCAGTTTCCAAGTTTGTAGTTTTCCGTTTATTATGGATAATTAATTGACTTATTAATGTCTTCATCGCGAGAATTAATTACAGCTCTTTATAATTAATTCTCAATTTTTTTTTTTTATATATGTTTAATATTTTGACTGTTTTTTTTTTAAATCGCGCAACTTTGTCAGATAAAAAAAAAGAAGGAACTTTTTGAGGAACTTTATATAAAATTGATAATAATTCGAGGAATGAAATATTGCCGGATGGGATGAATGGACACTAAAAAGGGATTTTATAGGAATATGAGGTACATTAAAAGGAAAAGAGACGTGTGATGATGAAGTGCAGTTATAAAGAAAAGACGGCAGGAAAGACGGAAAGGAGCAAAACGGCAAGGAGCAGTCATTTGGAACTCATTCCACTTTTCTATGATTCTCTTATTACATCTGGTCCTCAAACTTTTTATTTATTTTTTTTTCTCTCTCACACTCCTTCTTTTTTTTCAAACTACAAACCTTTCACAACTTACCCAATTTCATCCAGAACGTGATTCCATCATTTCAACTTTTATTCGATATAATTTCTATATATCGCTTTTATATTTATTTTATTTTCTTTTTTCTGATGATTCATCAAAAATTCTCATTTTTGAAAAAAAATATTAAAATTATTATTATTTCTATAATTATATAAAAAAAAAGTGAGAATATTAAAGGAATGTTTTTTTCACCCCTTTTTTATTGGAGTTGTTCATTGTGAACCGGAGTAACTCCCAAAAAATTCCGCTTTTTGTTCATTGATAACAAAAAAAAAGAGGAGAAAAAATCGATATGATATGTGAGCGAAATTGGACACGCGCTTTATCGTGGAGACAAATAATACGAGAGGAAAATTTTTGAAAAAGCGTTAAATCAAATAAAAAAATTTGTTGTATCGTGGTTATGGGCGTAAATTGTAACCCAGGCATATTGCTCTGTCTCCATTTAAGTTGATCTACGAGACACGCATTTTTTCTGGCCAAAAGTAATGTCTGCACACATTTGTTCGCGACAATTTATTTCCGCGTATAAGGATATCGATCAAATATGGAAAGCACAACCTAGTGTGCGCCGCAATATATATATAGGGGTGTCTCCAAAACGGTATTATACACGCGACTAAACTTTATTCCAAAGTGCGAATCTCTGCTGTTAACAGTTGGAACTTGGGGAAATTCGAATTTCAACGTGAGACCGCGGCTCGGAGGCGGTGATTTTCGTGAAAATTTTCAAGGGAGATGTCAGCTGAGCTCAATACAATTGAATCTCGCAGTACCCGTGTCAGTCCCGCTTCTGGATCGCAGAAAAAAATAATCGAGAAACCGCCATTCAAACTTTGTTTTGCCAAACATCCGGAAACTGGAAGATCCGATGCTTGTATTCCCAAAATGAACGGTAAATTTATTTCACTTGTTTAACTGGTAATCAAAATTTTATGAAATTACAATAACAATTTTTTTTTCAAACAAAAATTATATTTAGATAAAAACTTAAAAAATATTTTAAGAAAATAATACCAAAAAAAAAAAACGAGAAATCCCTTTTTTTGTTCTTAAATTTGATCACGAAAACGTTCTCCTGATAAAAAAAAAATTGAAACTTTTAGAATCTAATTTTCATCACAGTAAATAAAAAGAAAAATCAATTTTTCGAAATTTTTTTGTTAATTTTCGATAATCTGAGAAAATTTGACCCATTTGCAAATTTATTCCAATAAGCTTTTACAATTCACATTATTCCCAACGAGTCAAGTGTAAAACACTCAACAATTATTTAATTGTTAATTATTAATTATATCATGTATGGATCAAATTTACATTTTCAATTGAATAATTAATTTATATTTGTGTAATTATAAACATTATTTAATATACAGAGTTTCTATACAAATTAAAATTGAAAGATAAAAAAACAATTTGAAAAGAAGCCTTTTTTACAATTACTTTGTATTTTTTTTTAAATATTTTTTTTAATATTAAACAAATAAAAAAAAAAAGTTGAAAAAATGGAATTTTAGGATTTTTTTTTACCTGATAATATAGACAAATTTTAAACATTGAGTGGATAAGGAGGGAACCCTAATAACTTCTGATGAAATTCAGAACCTCGTATAATTTCCCTCTTCCCTAATCCGGATCGGATTTGTGCCTTATGTAATATGAATAAATGAAGCCCTCATGCTTAGGAAATGGAAATTTTAGAGAATTTATTCAAAACAAATGTATTACAATAGTATTTTCAAGTAATTTACAATTCTATCCTCATAATTCTCTCAATGTAAAATACATATTTCTTATGTAGAGAAAAAAAATATTTAGCTTCCCTGACAGAAAAAATTATATTTTTCCAAAATAGATACTATTTCCACTAAAATATGAGTTTAATTGAATTTTAATTGAATGAAGTATTTAATTAGTAATAAAATTAATTTTTTTAATTTATACTTTTTATTATTACAATTTTTCACTTCTAATTTTCTTTTATTTTGTTGTATTTAAAATTTACTTTTCGAGTAATATTCCAATAAATATGTATATAAATATTTATTTGAAATTGAGAAAATGTTTTTTTTGAGAAGAAATCAGTGATAAGTTAATAAAAAACGAAAACGAATTTGGTTCAAGAAAAAGATTTTTCTCGGATTTTTTGTCAGTGAAAAAATATACGAGGATATTTCACCTGAAAATATATCATTTCATCTTTCATTTGAAATAAGAAGTAAAAAGTTTACATTTATTTTCAAAAATTCTTTTAAAAAAGTGTAATAATATAATTGAAGAGTATTATTATTATTTATTATTTCTTTATATTGATAAAAAAGAAAATGATTTAAAAATAAATATTTATAAAATAAAATGTAAAATAAAATCTCTAAAATCAATGTCATTTTAAGGGATTAGAAAAGAAAATAAAAAGTTTCTATCAAACAAAACGCACACGCATCGGAAAATGGAATAGAGTTATCCTACGAAAAGAAAGTTTTTCTGTTTGAGAATTTATTACCAGTGTAGTAAAAAATTTTACTCCACACACATACACTGTGGAAACTCATCTGACTGTCGTCAACAATTTCTAGCTGAAGTAGACAAAGTTTGAGGTCGCACTGAAAAAGTTTAATAATATATTCAATCGAGACTCTGCACATAAACTTTTACCCAATTTTTCCTATATGCTTTACGATATATATGTATTTTTTTTAATTTTCCCAGAGACATCATATATGACCATTTTTCACAATTATGTAATTATGTCCCCGGGAGAATTATTTTCAAATGGCATTTTTTTTCAATTTAATTATATGAACCAATAAATTACAAATATACGAAGAACAATTTTCATCATCGATTTTTTTTTCTAAATAATAATTTTTTATGAACAACTTTTTTATTTAAAAAAAAAAATGTATTTTTTTCCATAATTAGAAAAATCTGTAATATATCTTTTATTAAATTTCCATTAAAATGCAATTACAAGAGGAATTAAAATGCTATTTTTTAAAATTAATAAATAAAGGTAAAATTTCCAATTGAATTTTTATATTTTTCAGCTGAATTTATCACACCAAAATTTTATTCGCGAGAAACGTTCTGCATTCCGAATGAGAATATCATTGAAGGAAAAGAGGAATTTAAAACACCAAAGAAACTCTATCGTTGGCCAGTTTTAACCAGTCATGTGTATAGTATTAATTTTTATTTATTATTAATATTAATTAATTTAATTATTTTTGAATTATTTTATTATTTTTATTATAATTGCCATTAGTTTTTACTATTTTATTATTTATTTATTTTTATTATTATTTGTTTTAGATATGGATGGTGGCATGATAAAGGAATTCGTCCCATAGATGGAAAATTTAATTTCCATAAAAAAACATCCGATTTAGTAAGTTACCAAATGAAAGTCTATTCTGAGGATCGAAAAATAAAGGGTCTTGATCATTGACAAAACAAAGAACGTTTATTTAAACTTATTTATTTTCATTATATTTAAAAATTTTTTAATTTACTAAATTAATTTTTTTCAACTTAATTTATTTTTTTATTCTAATTATTTTATTAATTATTAATTATTTCATTTATAAATCATTATTAGTATGTATTATAATTTGTTTATTTATATTTAGATATTTATTTATTATTTCCCTAGGGTATAAAAGACTAGTTTTCGACATATATTGTACTCTACATTTTTTGAACAAAAAAATTAATAAATTATTATTAAAATTGAAAAATAATAAATTTATTTTCGAATATTACAGTATATAAAGTAATACAGATTTATGCTTAAGAATGCAAATTGCTTTGATTTGTGGTCGTAAAGTCATTCACCTTTTATATAAAGAAAATAAGAACACAAGAAATTGATTTATTACTATTCAGCAAATTCTTTCATTTATTTATAGGCGCAACTATATTTATATAGTTTTTTGATCTCATAAATTTTTATCTAAAATTATCAAATTCAAAAATTAATACTAATTATTATTATTTTTATTATTATTATTAATTATAAAAAGAAAATTATATAATAATACAGGAATATTATTAATTTCTTTATATTATAATAAATATTAAAATATTATTTGACATTTTCGAAGTGAAAAGCAATTGAAATACAACAATTAATTAAAATAATAATAAAAAATTTTAAAATTCACTTTACTCTAACCTAACGAAGAATTCAAATTTTCGCGCTTAATGTACCCGCTTTTTCGCGGAGCATGCGCGCCACATGTTTAAAAGGCCGCGCATCTCGGGATTATTTCGAATGACAACCAATCAAAAGTTGGATTCAGAGAAAATTCGATGCGACAGAGCAATCACAAGCCCGCCAGTCTCGGTTGTTGATTTATTACGACGTGAGGTTGCTGACAAGAAAAAGTAAAAAAGTGCATCAATATTCCGCCAAAAACTAAATACCGGCATGGACGAGAACACAAGGCTGAGCGATGAGTTTATTGAAAATACGGAGGAACTATCGCCACCTGAAAGGTAAGTCAAGTCATTTACATTGAACGTTGGAAAATTTCGGTAATAATCCTTGGGTTCTTTGGGTACAATCAGGTATAAGAAAATAACACATTTACCTGCCTGAGCAGGTAGTACCGCGCGGTCAGGTAAGGTTAAGAACCCCTGGTCCTCAGTTTTCATTTCATCCCCGAATGTACACGAGTCACCCTCTTGTGTGGCTTGGATATTTTTTATTTATTTAAAATTTCTGTTTTTGTAATTATTGTTAAATTAATCATGTCCGAAACATGCTGGTATCACAGGTAAAAAATCTTAAAATGATTTAATTTCTAAAGTGCTGGAGAAAAATAGATATAAAAAAGTTTTGTTCGAATAGTGTTTTAACCTGCATTTTGAGTGCGTGTGTTTGAGTGAAAATACCTGGGAAATAGCAGATGTTTACAGACGCTTTCCTATTTTCTTCGTGTTGCGTTCAAAAAAAAAAATAACATTAAAAACAACTTATTTTTTAGCTTCTCTGGATTTTTCAATTTTTGTTTATCTCTTTTTTAAGTTTTACACAAGTTTTTGTTTATTATTTGTTTGGCTTCGTGATTCCCAATAACCACATGGCTCAGGTTTTGTTAGGGTAGGCATTGTTTATTTTTTACATCACATCACATTGTTTAAGTTTTTTAGTGAAATTTGATAAATTGTTTTTTAAATTTATACAAGTATAGTATAAAATAGTTGGACAATTTATAATAAAGTTTATATATTTTTTCGATAATTCGATAAACGTTTATAAGTAAAAAGAAAATGTTTGTAATTTATTTTTAAAATGAAAAAAAAAATTCATTTACGTCATAGTGAAAGACAATTACAATTAATAATTTTGTAGACTTTTAATATTGTTCTTTAAATAGTTTAATTCACTTTGCACAACTGTATAAACTTTTATTAATGAAATTATGAAACATTGCTGAGAATTACCATTTTAAATAACTCGAGACGTCAAAAAGCGACCCATTTTTTAAGTCTTATCTGTGAATATTACGCGTTGGTTATATTTATTTTACATTATCTTTTAAGGTAAAAAAAATTTTGGTTTTAGTTATAACTTCAGTACTTTTTTCTCCATTGCTACCATTTTTTTCTATTTTCACTTTCCTCAAAAAATCGTGTCCTTGACTTTTAATTGACAATAATGGAACAATGAAAATTAAAGTATTTTTTACTTTCAGTAAACGAGTACGCTTAGACGATGGCTGTAATAATAATTTAAATGAAATAACTGAGACGTCGAAAAGCAACACCACCCATTGGTCATGTTCGGGTGATACAAGTTTTGTCGAACCGGAAATTTTAGAAGACATGGGTGTCAGTATGTTGGAGGACGAGGAGAGCTGTGAGAATGATTTAAAAAAACCACGATTACAGGAACCTTCTCCAACTCAATCACAAATCAAAAATGTCTGCATCAGTCAAGACTCAGGAGTATATAGACATTCTAGTTTTGAAACTGTTGTGCCGGACAAATATGACAGGTTTGTTTCACTGCTGTCATTTAATGTTTATTATTTGTATTTAAATTTTTAAAAAATTCGAGACATACTTTACGAGACTCGAAGGATAATATTTCAGTAATGTAAAAATGAAACTAAAGGACATTTCGATAGGAAAATATTTTTTAAATATAAAATTTTTAAAGGCTGGAGGACTTAATAGATTTCACATCGACGGAAAATGAATCCGAATATGGTTCGAGAGCAGAATTGGAAGCATTTGCCGATGCTAAGAACAGTTTCACAAAAGACGAATTGAATACAACATCCGAAAAAAGTAATAGTTTAGATTTAGAATTCGGTTTACGGAGGAGAAAAAAACCTTCAATCGTCGGCGAGGATAAATTTAATAAATTGTCGGATGAAATGATCTTGATGATCTTAAAATGGCTTCCAAAGAAATGTTTGGTATTGTCCTTATATTTATTCTTCTTCTCACATAATATATTATTCGTTGAAAAAATTGTTATAAATGGTAAAAAAAAATTGTATTTTTAGGTGCGTTCCATGTTGGTGTGTAAAAGATGGTGTCAAATAGCGATAGACGAAGCGCTGTGGACCCGTTTAGATTTGGGTAGTAAAGTATTGAGTGATGGAAACTTAGGTCATATAATTCCCCGAGGAGTTCAAATCTTGAGGCTAGCGCAGGCAGAAATTGCTTCGCCAGTCTTTCATTTGAATAGCGAAGCAGCCGCTACTCATTACTCTAGTAAATTACAATATTTAGATCTCTCAATGGCAGTAATTGCTCCTTGGGACTTGGCAATTTTACTCGCGAAATGTAAATATTTAAAAAAATTGTCACTCGAAAAGTGTGTATTGGATGGATCGTGTTGTGTTGCTATTGGTGAAAATGTAAATTTAGAAGTATTAAATTTAACCATGTGCGAAGGAATGGACGTCGAATGCATCCGTAATTTAATGAAATTAAAAAGGTAATGTACAGTTATAGTAATTATATTTTTTTCTCTAATTATTTTCTTAATTAGATTAACATTATCTCATCATTTTTCAGGTTGACTGCTCTTAATATGTCTTGGTGTTGCCTTGACAATGAATGTATGACATTAGTTTGCAAATCATTACCTTCAACTGTAACCCGGTTAAATATTGCTGGTTGTCGGAAAACTCTCTTCGATGATAGTAAGTTCAGTATTTTTTTTTAAACTAAAACATTAAAAAATCAACATTTTACTTATTTAAAATATTAATTCTCTCCGACAAAAATGCATAAAAGATTTAATATTCAAATAAAATGATATATGGAAAAAAGTTATGTTTTGTGATTCGAGTAATTTAATTCTACATTCGATATAATTACATCTACAAATTTAACTTTCAACATTTTCGTTTGAAATCACCGTTTATTTAAATTGAATTTATTGAACAAATTTATCGTATTAAATTTCAGACGTGAAGGATTTACAGAAAAATTGTCCCGATCTCGTGGAATTGGATTTGAGTGATTGCACATTGTTAACAATAAACACAGTCCACAGTCTTCTGAAATTTACGCACCTGGAGCATTTGTCGTTGAGTCGCTGCTACAGTATTCCAACCTCGATGTATATTAGATTAGCATACATGCCGTCTCTGATGTATTTGGATTTGTTTGGTCTAATGACCGAGCCAATGCTACAATCGTTTCAGGCTAATTGCGACGAAACTGAAATCAACAAGTTCCTATATAGTTCGGTTGCCAGGCCAACAGTTGGAGTGAGGAGAACAAGCATTTGGGGTCTGCGAGTCAGAGATTAATTAACATAATGTGAAAAACGTTAAAAAAAATTAATTATAAATAAAACAAAAAAATTTTTTATACAGACTGAAAATTCGAAGAATAATTTAACATTTTTACATTCATATATTTTAAATATAGTTTAAGTGAATCTTTTTTTCAAATATTCATTGAATTTTCACGTTCCTTTTTTTTTGAATTGTTATAGTTTTGTTAAATTTTTTTCATTTCAAATACTTAAAGGTATAAAAAAAACAACTAAACGTGATACAAAAGTATTGCGAAGAAATAAATCAGGTATTTACTTTCATTGTTTCTTAGATTTTCTTCAATATTTGTATATAGATATATATTTTTTGAAGTATTGCACAGAGACTTGTTTATTTTTCATTGTTCTCTGAGGCTGTGCGTTAAGGGTACTCGATTATTTTTTTTTTAATGAATGTATGTCTCTGAAATAATAATTTACCACGATTTGATCATATTATATTATTAAAAAAAAGCAGATTTATTGGCATGTGTTTACGATGAAAACAAATTAATTTAGAAACAACGGTGAAACCAAGAAATTGTAATATATATTAATTGAAATTTTGAATCAATGTTTTATTACATGATTGATCACTTTTGCATCAGAAATTTTTTTTAAGATAACTAAAGTGCCTTGTCGAGACAATTTACGAAAAAATGAACTGTAACCCTTAGTTTTAAAAGCGACATTGCTCCAAAAGAATTTTATCCATTGTGATTATGATAAATACCTTAATATTAAATGTAATGTTATTTTATATTATGAAACATTTTCATCAATATAATTATAACAAATGAAAAAAAGTCTTTTTATTTTCTTTGCTCCTAAGTTTTTAATTTCAAATAAAATAATAACTTTTAATTTTTTTTCTCGTAAATAAGAAAAAATGTATATGAAATAAATTTTTTTTTATTAATCATTTACACGGTTTACAAAAAAAAAAATCTTTGCAAAGAAAGAACAAAATTTGATTTACTTTCAGTAAAATTTCTTAAATCAATCAATAGAAATTTTAATGAAACTAATTACGTAATTTATTTTGTTAGTGTTTAATGTCGCAATTTAAAAAGGTAAGATTTTGTAAAAGTTCGATAGGAAACGGAGAATCAACTCATTATCATATCCCTGAGAGTTAGCTCTCTATTTAACTATTTACAATCTTTGTTTATTGTGATGAATCTTGTGCAAAAAAAAAGAAAAAAAACGGCGAATTATTAGGCACAAGAATATTATTTTCTTTTTTTTTTTACTAATAACATTGTCAACAATGCTGTACAGATGAATTTTTTTTTTCTACAAAAAAGACACGTTTTTTCTAAAGTGAATATATGGATTTTTCTTAGTAAAATGCAATTTTTGTCTTTAAAAATAGAAATTCTGGTTCATTTGATAAATTTTATAAAGATATTTGAACCGGAATATTATTATTTCTATTAATAATAGTTATAATTTGAAATTAGTTTTCCATACTATTACGACTAGTTTCATTAAATGGAAGAAATGAAAATAGTTTGGGAAAATTGCATTCAGGAAATGACACGGTTTTCCAATTGATGAAATTTCGTCGTATTTTAATTACGAATTACAGATGGACTTCATGCAGTTGCTAAATGATCTCCAGATGGTGATGATTGTATTGATTTAATATCCTTCTTCGACAGATTCGAATCAGTCGTTTCCGCATATATCGATTTCGACTCTTGTCTTTCCTGTTCGCTTTGCCATTGCACCTAAAATTGATTAAATTTTAAAATCAATAAATATATCACAATATTTTTGAAAAAACAGTTATGGAAATTAATTGTTTCAAAGTAAAAATATAAAATAAAAGGGGGAAAAAATAATTAAAACCATAAAAAGTGTTAAAAAAACCAACCTTCTGTTTATGCTGCTTAATAGCATCGTTAGTTCTGTCAATGATCATTTGATCCGTTAAAACGCCTTCCTCAGAAGCGTAAGCCGCGGCTTGCCAAGCAACACCTAATTTTGCAATTTCTCGCCCCGACATACCTTCTGTAATTTCCGCAAGTTTCGTACAAAGAGCGCTGTAATCAAATTGCGCCACCTTCAATCTCTTCGCACCTTGTGTCGCTGGTTGGAGAACGAATTTATCAAAATACAAGCGCACTAAACGTTCACGTTCTTCACGTCCCGGTAAAATGAATTCCACCATTTCATCCAATCGATCATTCACTGCCCAGTCAAATTGTTCGGGCGTGTTTGAAGCCAATACCAACATGAATTTATTACTTTGCTCGCCGGTACGATACAAAAATGCATTCAGCATGGCACGCAAATCCTCCGAGATATGTTCGCTCGATCGTTTGCGTAAAAATGCATCGGCCTCGTCAATAAACAAAAGAAGACCTCTCCTTGACGTTGAAGCCCAATCGAACACCTTGTGAATTGCCGTAACACCATCACGACCCAAAGGCGCCAAATCACCGCCCGTCAAAATAGCGTAATCCATTCCCGAATGTTGCGCGAGTTTTTTCGCAAACATTGTTTTACCAGTTCCTGGCGGTCCGTGCATTAATATATTTCTATACATTCCTCTATTTTGTTTTGTATTCTTTGTGGCAATCGCAACATCGCGAAGTCGTTCCTCAATTTTTGGCGCTAGCACAACACCGGCCAGTGCGTCACTCTTCTTCTCGGTCAATTTCTTCACAGCTTGTATAGGATGTCGCACAGCATCCAAGGCCGAGAATCGCGACGTCTCCCGAACAAGAGATGGCTTGCCGAGACGCGATTCGATATAACGGGATGCTACTCCCGTCGATCCTTTCGCTGAATAAACTCCAAGAGCCAAAAGTGACAAACCTCCGGCGGCCGCCAGGATTTTGTCCCAGTCGCCCAAAAGTGCAGTAGCTCCCGTTCCCAAAACTGAACCCGCAGTTCTAAAAACAAGAAAATAATTTCAAAAACATATTTTAATTTTGTAACAATCATTTTAAAAATTTTGTTTATCAGAATTGTAAATGAAAATATTGAGAACATACTTGATGGACTCGAGGACAGTCGTTCGTTTCTCAGCAGCTTGAAGTCGAATTTTTTCAAGATTTAAATCCTGATTCTCGCGATCAATTTTTGCTTGAGCTCGCAATTTTGCGTCAAGTTTTTTCATTTCATTTTTGTGCTTTAAATCCATTTCATGTTCAATGGTCGCTTTTCTCATTGCTTCCTGTTTAGCAATTGACTCTTCTTGTCTCCTCAAGTTCTCGTCGTTCATTCTCTGCTGTTGAACAAGTTGATCGTCGTATCTTTTTCTCGACAATTGATCCTGATATTGAGCTCTCATTTGATGTTGTTTAGTTTCCTCAGCCAATGTTTTTCTCCTCTCTTCAGCATCAACTCGTTTTTGCTCGACTTTCATCTGTTCAATACTGGCTTCGTATTTCTTGAGCTCCGTTTGTAATTCTGTCTGTCTTGTTCTTTCTTGTAATTTTGAAAGCTCCAACGCCTCCAGAGCGTGAGCTGCAACGAATGATATGTACTATTTTTTTTTTTCTTTCTTTTTGAAATAACTTCACAAGAAATAAATTTTTCATTGTATTTTTGAACTATTTTCTAATTATTTTATTTGTTTTTAAATAAAAATAAAAAGGTATTACAAAATGTACATTAAAAAGAATAACAAATAGATATTTCTTCTCTTCAAAAAACATACAACCTAAACATTAAGATCAATAATTAAAATTTTATCATTCCACGTGGGAAATCTCACGTGTCGATAGAGACCTAGTGCTCTAAGAATTTTCTAACCCAAAAAAAGCAGTGTCTGGCTTACGTAATCTTACATAACATGAAAATTGGTTTCAAAAAGAATGGTGACAGAAAAGTTTACCTGATTTTTCTAAATCTTTGGCAGCTGCAGCAGCCCGTTCCAAGGCACTGGAATCAAATCTATATGCATCCATTTGAGATTTTGTTGGATTTTTCGATGGGGGTCCATCGTTCGATCCGCCGCCATCACCACCTCCTGAAGCCGGTGGTTGTATAAATTGTGAAAAGTCTTGCGATTGTGTATAACGATTTCCCAGCAACCACGACATTATTGAAATTCACTAAACACTGACACTGTTTATGTGACTTTAATTAATGAGATTTTTGGCTATACTCAAACCAAAATCGTTAAAAAAAAACTACTCACGTGCTAGCAACTAAAGAGCACGTTTTTGTGGTACATGAACTTTGAACAATAGCAGACGACGAAATTTTTACACCACCTCACGGAATTGATTTTTAAAATATTTTAACAAATACTTTTTATTGAAGTACTTTAAATATTAACTAAATTGTAGATAATAATCACGTTCACAATAATGTTATTAGAACAAATAATTATGATTTTTATCCATTTTATCGGCTTTATCAACACCTAACCTCAAAATCAATAACTACCTAACCTAACCTTCGTTTGAATAAAACTGATAAAGTTGGCAGCACTTGATTAAGTTTAGTGAATTCTTATTCTATAGAGTATAAACTATTGGCATGACTGATAACCAAATGTCACCAGAATCATATGTGTCAAAACAATGTCAAAACAAATGTTTGATTTCGACATTTGAAGATTTCCATTGTAATTTTATCTTTCTTGTCGTAAAATAATATATTTACACTTTATTAAATAATGTCTACTATAACAATATCTGCCGTTCGTCCAAGAACAAGCATTCTTGATAAATCACTCAGTAAAGGTAAAGGAGAAGTTAGTTTAAGTTGTTTTGCTCTCCTTTTTTCGGAACTTGTTCAATATTGTCAAAATCGAGTGTACACAGTACCAGAACTTCAAAACAAGTAAGTTTTCTAATTATTTCTGAACTAAATGCAAGAATTTATATTAAATAATTATTTTTAAAAATTTTAATCTTATTATAGCAGGTTATGTTACACCATGAAATCTATAATAGATGTTTCAATTAATTGATTTGCAGATTGGCTGAGTTGGGAATGGAGGTTGGACATCGGGTAACAGATCTTCTTGTCGTGCGAGAAAAAGGTGGTAAACGGGAAATAAAATTGCTCAATATTCTTCTCTTTGTGAAAAGTACTCTATGGAAATCATTGTTTGGCCGTGAAGCTGATAAATTAGAACATGCTAATGATGATGAACGCACCTACTATATTATTGAAAAAGAATCTTTAGTTAATAAATTTGTGTCTGTTCCAAAAGACAAAGGTAGTTTAAATTGTGCATCGTTTGTCGCTGGTATTGTTGAAGCAGTTTTGTGTGACAGTGGATTTGTAAGTAATTTTATTGTCTTATTTTAATTAATTAACATATATTTAAATAATTTTTAAATAATATTTATACTTGCAGCCCGCAAAAGTTACGGCACATTGGCATAAAGGTACAACCTACATGATTAAATTTGATGAAGCTGTTATTGCTCGAGACAAACAATTAGATGACAGATAAAAAAATTTTTTTTATATATATTTAATGTTAATTATAATATACACCAAGGTAATACAATAAAAATATAATTACATAGAAATTAAATCATTTTAAAGAAGTAACTAAAGTAAATTAAATTTTTTGTAATAGTGATTGTAATTAAATTTACACAGATAATGAAAAACAAAAGTGATATACAATTCTTTATTTAAGCTAAATGATTTTTCACTCTCACCTTTCTACAATAACAATTTTATAAACTTAACCAAATTGCATGAATCTATCTTTATAAGCAATTTGACCAGTCCTGAATTGACGTTCTTTAGCATCCTGCGCAAAAATATTTTAATATTATTATTTAATTCATTGACATTTATCTTGGATAGTATGCAACTTTTTATGGATTCCAGAATATTTATTTCAGACTCAATTACCAGATCTTAAAAGGTTTATTCTAATAAAAGAAATTGATTTTTTAAATAAAATAATTATCTTACTCTTTCTCTCTTAACAGCCAGCGTTGTTAAAATCATGGGTACAATTACCATACTAGTGTGATAGACCCAACTTAAAATAGTAGGTCTATTAAATTCTCTCCTTGTCTCTCGTAAAGATATTAATCTTTGAATTGGCTCATCGAACTGTAAATAAAGTTAAAAATTGTTCATCAAATTGCAAATAAGATTATAACAAATTGTTAAACATTCTAAAATGAACCATTAATACAGAAAGACACACTTATGTAACAGGAAACATAAAAACAGTAAACTATCAATTTGTGCATTTGATGAAAAATTTGAGAAAATAATTTCAAACAATTAAATGAAAAATAAATCAGAAACTTACTATTGTTCCATTAGCAAGAGGTCTATAAGGATTTAGATATTTTTTAAGATATTCATTTCGGAGCTCTAATCTTCGAGCAGCTTTTTCTTCGATGATTTTCTTTTGACGGGCTGTAACGTCATATACATCGCGAAATTGAACCATTTTTTTATAAGAATCACTTTCTGTGAACAAATAACGATGGAAACATTAAAGAAAATGAAAATTTTACGAAATATTTATATATTGCCTTATTTCTAACCTAAAAAATTCTTGACAATTGTTGGAATCGGTCCAGTCGTATTTCGATCGTCTTCAATTCGTGCATCATCGTCGATCACGTGACAATTCAGAAAGCGGGGAAATTCAAAATATTCGAAATATTGATTTTTCTAATAATATAAAAAAAAAAGATTTATATATATTAAAATTAACTTGTAATTTTTTGCAAACAACTTGTGGTATTTTTTATAATTTCTGTTATTATTTATGGAAAATTATTAATTTTTAATTGTTTTTAAACAAAAAATGTTTCATTATTAATTTAAAAAAATTCTTTTGTTCTGATCACTTTAAATTTTACGTTTAAAAATAATTTAATTAGATATTTATTGAAAAATTAAAGTTCTAGAATAATTCACATGATAGTGACTCATGAAAATTAATTATATTGATAAATTAAAAGCATGTGATCTCACATGATGCGCAGCTTCCTTATTTATATTACGAAATAAACGGCCGACATGCAAAAAACATTAACCTAGTTGATAAAACTTTTCTTCTATTATTTTAATAACTTTTCATATATGAAAATACAGAAAATTAATATCTTGGCATGTGATCATCTGATTAAGTTATTTATATAAACAATTCGTAAATTTCAGAACCAGAAAAGTTGGACATACACGTGACTTTGAAAGAAAAAAAAGTTTATTGATAAAAAATTTCAACCAATCATAGTGTACGTTATTTGTACTCTGACACAGAGAAAATACGTTAAGCGAATCACAGTATACGAGGTTTGTACTCACGCGCATACAGAGTACGTTCAACCAATCAGAATGTACATTTCACTACTCCATTGTTACTTTATTTGAATGAATTGTAGTCGTTGCCATAGTAACAAAGATGGCGGTAAAGTACGAATGCGCATAAATCCAAAGTGAATAAAGAAGAAACATAACCTTTATTCTAAAGAATCACGAGTTATAAAAAGAGGGGATACTGTAAAATATAACAAAGCAAAGCAACGTTCTGACTTGTTTGTTTCCGTTTATTCGATCATCTTAGCTTTATAAGCGTTTAACTATCTAATTCAGTATATATAGAGAAGTGAAGAGAACTAGACTGTGTCGACCCTGGCTCTGGCATAACATTCTGTAAACAAAAGAGTGCTCAACATAGATTAATTCCAACGTCAAATAGGTAAATTATTAATTTTAATAATAAGTCTTTCAAAAAACTGATAAAATTTTTAATTTGTAAACATTTAAAAAATAATATATCTAAACTCTTAATAATTATCTATTGTAATAAGAGATGGTCAGAAGATTTCTAATGAGTCATTTATTAAAATTGATATTCAACTACTTATTTCTTTTGTTTTTCGAGTGTTTTTGATAAAAATTCTTATTTTATTGCAGTTTTTAACTGTTTCAGATATTTTTTATTGTATAGTGAATGTTTTGTATTCTTTCTATATATGTATTGTCACTTCTATTTTTCTGACGAAACATTTTACTTTCATTGTCAATTTCATCATAAAATATTACATTGGAATAACAAGTATATTTAAATGATTTCTAATACACGATTTAAAGTTTCACAATAAAATATTTATTATTTTAAAAAAATGCGCAATTTTAACAATGTGTTATTTTATTAGAAAAAAGCAAAAATTTTGTGTCGTTATAAATTTTGTTTTTATAAAAACTCATTAAGTTCAAGGTATTATGTAAAGAAATCTTTAAAGAAAAAGGATTATGTTGTTATATAATTATTTCTAGTTAACTAACACTAATTGTATAGATTTTAAATTCAAAATGTATTTTTCCTCTTGGAAATTTTGTATTTAAAAATAAAAATTATAACAATTTTTTCAATGTTCTGGATTAAAATGACATTTTGCAAATAGGAATTTTCCAAAATTTCTAAAATGAAAATTTTTCTCTCCTCCATCAGAATTCTTTGTTCCAGTACAAAGAATTTGGTACACCCATTACAAAGGGTCAGGTAAAATTTAACCTTTGGTTCTCAATAAACTTGTTGCCTATTGCCTATATATATACATTTTTGGGGGATTTGGAAGACTTTTTAAATCAACGACGCAGTTTCTTTCTGATGGCGATAGAGCAACCATTCCTTTGTTCGTACATAAAGAATTTAATGTAATCATATTTTCTTTACATTTAGAAATAAGTCATCCATCATTATTTATTAGTCACTTTCTATGAATCATTTTTTTTTTAAATTTTCAACAAATATAAAGACTGATTATTGCAAAGATCAGGATTAATAATAAACAAAAAAAAATTAACGGAATTTTTATTTATTTCCCCGGAAATATTGAATACATCATGAAATAATAACTGAGATATGTGTGCGGACACGTGTTTGTAAATTTCATTTGTAATTTAATGCAGATAAAATAATGCTCTGTTTTCACATACTGTGATAATTGAGTCACGATAAACATGATACTATTTCAGTGATTGTTGGTGTCGTTTTTTTTATATATACACATGGCTCGTTTAGAGTTACATTTGAAATTTAATCTTCAGATTTGAAAAGTTTATAAATTTTGTTTTTTTTTTATTTTTAGATAATCATGAAGTTCCTTCTTTTGATTGCGACGGTCATTGTTGGGTCGCAAGCTATTAATGTGGACGAACTCATGAAAGATGAGTGGTTAGCATTTAAGGTAAAATAATAATAATTTGTGGACATTACTATTAAAAGTTAAATTGTTTTATTAAAATTATAAATTTGTAAATTATTTTACAGGGAGAGTACAGAAAAATCTATAAGGACGTTGTAGAGGAATCGTTTAGGCTAAAAATCCTTCTTGAAAATCGTCACAAAGTTGCAAAACACAATGCTGAATATATGAAGGGAAATAAAAATTTTAGATTGAAAATCAACAAATATAGTGATATGGTAAAAAATTTGATCTTTATTAATGAAAATGTAAAGCAAAAGTCTGAATTGCGTATTAATGTAAATTAAAAATTAAAATTACAAATTAATAGGCGGAAAATTTTTTTTAATTTGAAATAAATTTAATTTAGTCGAAATATATTTCTTTTGCAGCTTAATCGAGAATTTGTAGACACCTTAAACGGTTTTAATAAAAGCACCAATCATCTTTTAAGACAGCAGCTCAACATTGAAGGAGTTACTTACGTCAAACCAGACAATGTTAAATTTCCAGATACAGTTGATTGGCGAAAAAAAGGTCTCGTCACTGCTGTTAAAGATCAAGGACACTGTGGTTCTTGCTGGGCATTTTCTTCCGTAAGTTATTGACTCTTCATTAGTTGTGCTTTATATTAAATTGAAAAATAGAATTTCCTCATATTTTGCAAAATGTAATAACGAAGAATTGAAATTTTTATTTATATTTAGACTGGAGCTTTAGAAGGACAACATTTCAGAAAAACTGGAATACTTGTGTCATTGAGTGAACAAAATTTGGTAGATTGTTCAGGAAAATATGGAAACAATGGTTGCGAAGGTGGTCTTATGGATCAAGCATTCCAATATATAAAAGATAATCGTGGTCTCGATACTGAAAAATCTTATCCTTATGAAGCTGAAGATGACAAGTGCAGGTATTATAAATTTCTTCCCCTATTCAAAAAAAAATTACCAATATTTCCCTAATCGTCTAAATGAATTGATTTTTAATTACAACAACAATTAGAAATTTATTCATACAGTAATAATAATAATTTTCAATCAATAGGTACAAAAAGGCAAATAAGGGAGCAGATGATAAAGGATTCGTCGACATTCCACAAGGTGACGAGGAAAAATTGAAAGCTGCCGTTGCAACCATGGGACCAGTTGCAGTAGCCATTGATGCTTCTCATGAAACTTTCCAACTTTATTCTGAAGGTATATTTTATAAATAAAACAAAATTATCAATTACATTTTTTTAATTTTGTATTCATTTATATCTAATTAAAATAAATTTTCAATTTTATAGGAGTATATTATGAACCCGAATGTTCCAGTGAACAATTAGATCATGGTGTTTTAGTTGTCGGTTATGGAACTGAGGAAGATAAGGAGGGAAATCCTCAAGATTATTGGCTGGTGAAAAATAGTTGGGGCGATACTTGGGGTGAGAAAGGATACATCAAAATGGCAAGAAACAAGAATAATCATTGTGGTATTGCCTCATCTGCTAGTTATCCTCTTGTTTAATACAATTAATTTCATTTAGATAAAATTCTATTCTAAGAGCTATGAAAAAGAAAGAATTAAGACAATTGTAAAAAACAAAGCATTTAAAGAGATTTGCTTTTAACTTGTGTTGTTAATCTTTGAAACAACAAAATAATTTATTGTAAGACTTTTATATAAGTAAGGAATGCAGCTTTTTATTTAAAATTTTTTTAAATTTTCTTTTATTATTCTAAATAGTGATAACAAAACTTTGTTTGATATTTAACGTTTAATTTTCCAAAGAAATGTAAATTTTTATATATTATTCTTACATTTCCGTTATGTATAATATGTATTAAGAATGAGATTAAGCGAATTTTTTTATACTATGGTCCTTAAAAAAAAAGATTGTAAAGAATATGTAATTTTTCAAAAAATAAATTTAATTTTACATAAATAAAAAATGAACATTGAAGAAAATAATTTCAAATATCCCCGCACTTTAAAAAAAACGATCGCAGCGCCGCATCAAAATAATGGTTATTTTTAACAACAAATGTTTTCTTTTCTTTGCCGTTGATTTATCTCGAATTTCCCTTTTTCATTCTAGACATTTTAAGAAAAATCATGTTATTAAAAGTTTCCCAAGGAAATTTAATAAAAAGTTGATACTTTACTTAAATGTGTTTGATTACAAATGTCCTGGCACACAATTCAGTACTTTGTTACTTTTGAATTATAACATTTTAGAGGAGTGATTTTAAAAGACTAAAATCGGAACGAAAATGGCTCAAGAAATTTTAAATAATGTACTTAACTCTAAAATATTACCGGAAGAAATTATTAAATGGTTGTCAGAAGATAATCAACAGGTAAATTTGTTTACAAGATATTTGTTTGAATGTTTAATTTTAGGTTATGTTCGCCGCTATTATTTTTGTTAATCTCATTTTTTTTATTTCATACTTATTTTTTAAGGAAAAAACAATTATTAAATAAATATATGTATAATATAATTATTGTTCAATAACTGAAAGTAGAAAAATTCATTTGCTTATAGTTTTGTTAATAAAAAACATTATTATTTGTTTTATGTAAAAAAATTTTAATGTTTCTTTCTTCATCTATATTACAGAATTTTAATTGGGCTAATGTCAACAAAAATTTACCGAGAGCTGAATTTGTTGCTTGTTTTCTTAATTTTGTGAGAGACCAATTTGCAGTGTAAGTAAATAAGAAAATTTATATTAATATGATTTTAAAATGAAAGTATAGGTAAATAAAATAAATTTGTTATATAAATTTTTATTAATAATTATTTGATTAATTTATAATTTGCCTTTTCTTTTATTTTATTAACACAAATTATGTTTTTTTTTATTGCAACTAATTTTATTTTTCATAAGTTACGCTTATTGTTTTAATTTCTTAGCTTCGAATTTTAATTTCCTTACAAATAGTGCTGAACCAGTCGCAACTAACATAAAGCAGACACCTTCTAAGGGAAAATCATCAAAACTATCAACGACTAATATAATTAATAAAGAATCACTCAAAAATGATAATTCTGGATGTGTCTTGAACGATGTTAACAAATTAAATGACTCATTTGATAGTTTACGGTCTTCAGAAAATATCAGCACTTTAAATGTTTCTACTAATAATGAAAATCATAACGTATTAACAAAGGGTATTTTAATAATAAAAAGTCCAGAGAATGGAAAACAAATTGTTGAAAGTAACAAATCATCTGACAATCTCTTAGGGTCAGAAGGTAAAATTAAAAATCCTCCATCAAATAAAATATTTAAGAAACGAGTTCTTCTTCAAAATGTAACAGAAAAGTCCGATTACACTGAAAATAATTTAACTGTTTCTAAAAATCTTGATTTTCAACAACAAAAAGCAAGTAATTCATCTCAAGTGTCGGATTTAAATCAATCTTTTTCCAAAAGTCCAAGCAATCGAAATATCGAGCCTGTTTTATCAAATTTCAATAGATTATTCTCACCTGGTAATGATTCATTTGTAAATTTATCGAAAGAACAATGTAGCAGTTTAAATGCATCTCTTTTGTCACAAAGTTATACTCAATATGAATGTTCAAGTAATTCGTCACAAATATCCGAGAATTCAACCAAAAGTGAATTACACTTTCTTCATTCACCATTATTGCATAATGAAACAAAGAATCCAGTTTCTCCATTATATAGTCAAAGCATGATGTTGACACCAAAGAACACCTATAAATCACAGAACAAATCAACGGAAAAACAATTGAGAACAAATAATTATTTTAAACATAGTACACCGGAACAAATAACGAATTCCTCGCAAAAAGGTGTAAAATCTTCGTCAAGACAAAATATTAGTCTTGCAGATTTTATAACTGTTGATACGCGTTCATCGAAAAAGAGTAGTGGGAAAAAAAATAATCAAAAAACACAATTGTCAAGGCACAGCAAAGAAGATGAAATACCGGTATCAACTTCGGTCTTGTCAGAGGAAAACTTTCCCGAAGTTGGACAGAGTTTCGAAAGGCGACGCAGAATCAAACCAACAAAATTGGATATTTCCAGCAATAAAGGTATTTCTTTGCATAAATATTTTTATTAGTTTCTAAATTTGTTTATATTTAAAAATTAATTTGATCTTCATTGTCTTTAGGTGACAAGGAAAATACCGTTTTTGGTATAGTGAATAGACCAGCAATAGCAAATCCACAATTCTCCGATGTTCAATCCACTGATCAGACATCTGATAAAGAATCCTTTGAAATGGAAAGAGTATTGTTACGATTGGAGAGACAAAAAAAGGAGGAGACTTCAGTTGAGAATAAAATAGATCTCGATTCATCAATTAAAGTAGTGAGACCGACGAGAATTCCGTTATTATCGAAATCAATTATTGTCCCCTCTTTAGCAATGATTGAACAAAAGGACATTTTAGAAATAATAGTGCAAATATATTGCGCCTTTATCGATAACAATTTAATTTTAAATCCCATGACTGAAATGTATTTTATACTTTCTCTTATTACAACGCAATATCATCGACAAATAACGCCGCGCAAATCTACTGTTAAAGAATCTCCAGATACGAGTGACAGTTCAAAATCGGATTCATTGAGACGAAATTTAGAAATTGATCTGGGTTGTGCGGTGCTCAGTGAAGAAATGAGCAAAGATGTTGAATCGGAGGGTAAAATTTTAGTTTCCGAGAAAGATGTCGAACAATTTAGTGAGCTGAAAATTGATGACAAGACTGTGATAAATCCTGTAATTCTTAACAATGAAAATGATTGTATTTCGGAGAAAATTTTAAAAATTGACGATCTTATCTTAGGGACTCCTCATAATTGTGTATTCTTTTCTACACACGTTTTAAATCAGGAAAGACACTGGTTAAAATTTCTTGATCGAACAACTCTGAAATTACTTTCAGAAAATTCACATATTGCTGAATTTCAGCCAGAATTGCAAATTTATTTACAAGAATTGTATGACACGAAACTTGCTGAAATGAATCGCATTAAACAACACACATTTAGGTAATTTACGTATTTAATTATTTTACGTAAAAACCATTTTTTTCAAATTCATTTCTTATTGAAAATTAATATTCGATTGTTTTTATTTTTTATTAGCTTTCACGATCCGAATGTTTCATTCCAAATTGATACTGATAATAGGGAAAAATTTCCAACAGCCATTGCCTTTCAGTCGTTTCGTAAACAACGCGACATGTTTTACGACATATTGAAAATTTGGGAGGAAAATCATACAAATAGTAATTGGAAATTTTCTGTGGCGTTGAGTCCGAAAATTAAAATGATGTTGACACTTCACAGCGATGTCACAAATCACTGTCACATTGCTAGACTTTTTAAATCGCAGTTACTTATTTCCTGTATACATAGTGGACAACAGGTATATAATTTTTTAATTTCAAAAATGTAATACTAATTTAATTTTCTTTAATATTTATTTATTGTTTAAATCTTTTTGTGTCAATTATTTAGGGAGATGTAATTGATGACGAAAGTTTGAGTATTCTCAAATCTTTAAAGGATGTTAATCCAGAAAAATTGACACAATTAAAGGAAAGATTAGTCACTCCTTTATCATCTGAAGGTCCAGTTCCAGAGCCAAATTTTCAGGGAATTCAAGAATTTTATAAAAATTTTATACTCTATTCTTTTAATCCAATGTTTTATGCTCACTTAGAGGACTGTCTTATTCATGAAATTTTAGAATTGAATGATATTCAATTCACTGCAAGTGATATTGGAGAATCAGGTAATTTTTATTTTGATAATTTGATTAAGTACTTTTTAAATTATAATTTGTAAAAAAAATCGATTTATTTCAGAAACAACGGTTGATGAACGAACAAAACAAAATTTTATAACTTGTTTATCAAGTTTACGAGTTCTTGGTAAATTTTTGGGTTTCTTGGTATCGTTACCATATCGATCATCGACAAGTTCATTTGATGAAGTCATAAAGTCTCAGGTTTCATTACGCAGTCGAGTAAGTTATTTTATTCTGATTAAATATTAAAAATCATTGAAAATACAAAAAAACCAAATTCTTTTTTCAATTAAAAAATTTGTTTCTTTGCAGATTGTGCCAGTCTTAAATTTGCAAACCTGTCTTCAAGAGTCTATAATTCAAGGGAAATTGACGTTAACGATACCCTGGATTGTTGAATATTTATCACAGTTGGACATAGCTTCTCTTCGTTTACCTTATTACAAGCGACTGTTGGAAATTCTTTACTGCATTTATCGGATTTCAAAATTAGATGTTCCTATTATTTCCGAACAATTAATGTCACAGCAAACGTTAATTCTTATTAAATTCTCCCTCGGTTGGTTATTTGAATTGTCCAATTTTCCAACTGATTTTTATTTTTCCTGGCAGTCAAGTTACATCGAAAAAAAATTAATGACTTTTTGTCATGGTGAAAATGGAAAAATGGAAATTGCCGTTGCTAATAATAAAAATAGTGTGACATTGGATAGATTGGACATTATTGACGAGAGAGTTTTATATTCTTGTTGTCCATTCTTGGTTGAATTTAAAATTCTTCTCACGGGAAATTCACAATCGACCAGCAATAAAACTAACAGACACATCACTCCAGTTTCTAGTCAACTTCCAAACGCGACCGACAGTACAAATGCAAAAAATTTAGAGGTATTTTTATCTTTTCAATTCTATTTCCGTGATGAATTTAATTTTCTTTAATTACACTTCTAATTGTTTTTTAAAATAAACAATGTAGCTCCAGTTGGAAGAAGCTTTTTTTCATGGTCAACCGGCTTCTACTAGAAAAACAATTGAATTTGTTTCGGAAAGAGTTGCCTCGACTTGTGTTAAATATATTTTTAACTCCTTGCTACCAACGGCTCGAGAAAATTGTTTAAATCAATTGCGGCAAAAGGTGGTCGAAAAAAATCGCAAAATTTTAGAAGATAATCCTGATGTTTTGAAGGTGATTAACGAAAAATTTACTTGTTAAAGTTTTATATTAATAGATTTATTATCAATTGAAATAAAATATATTCTTGTTTAGGCGCTGATGTTAAAGGAGGTGAATAATTTGGCTGCAAATATTACAAAAGAAGTGAATGAACAAATTGAGAAAGAAATCCCGCCAATGTGTAAGACTCGTATCTCTCAGTCGATTGATTCTTTATTAGCAGTTGACACTTTATTGACTGTAATGGAAACTTGTACTGAAATTACGATTAGAATGACAAAGGATCGTATTGCTCAATGGATTCAGTCTCATATTGGGAATTTGCTATTTATGCGAGATATTGAATTCAAAATTAGCCAAGTAGCGAAAAATGATAATGCCACGATTGTTAAAAATGAAAATAAACATAATCTCGCTGCAGCTTGTCCGACTGATGTACTTGATGATCTTCGGGTAATGAGAAATAATTTTTAACAATTAATTTTAAGTCGTCTTTTTAATTGTATTATTTAAGTACATCAATTTTATTTACATAAATATTTAGGTATGAATGAAAAATGTTTTAGGCTTGTTCGTGGGAATTTCTGGACAATAATGGAAAATTTATAACAATGGAGTTCATTTCGAACATTTTGGATCAATTGTATTCCAGTTTTACTGAACGAGAAGATTTAATTCCTGGGCCCGAAAATTGTTTACGCACAATGAGTGTTGATTTGTTTCTATTTCTCGGTATAATATTTTTCTTAATTACTAACTATTAAAGTGATTAAAATATTATAAATTTATTTGGATTTTTTTTTACAGTTACGTATCGAAGGGAAATTCTCACATATGAAATAGAAATGAAATTTATCAAATTTTGGAAGCTCGTATTAACAAAAATACCAGAACCAAGTTTTTCATTATCAAGAATATTGAGTCCAAGAAATATAATAATTTTAGAAAAATCCAATAACAGTGATGTTTGGACCAAGTGTGGTCAATTTATAAAATTGTTGTTGAAGGAAAAAGTTTTGAGTTTAGAATTTCTCAGCGATCAATGTGTAGCACTTTTGAGACAAGAGTGGCCAACAGTAAGTTTATTTTTGTTTATTAAACATTATAATTTGATTAATTATTAGGGATATTCAAAAAAAAATTTGTCCTTTTATTCCAAATAGTAAAAGTATAAAATGATTTCTATTTTTTTCTCAGGAAACGCTACAAAATTTATCAAAGTGCCTGATAATAGGAATAGAGGACTACAGGCCGTCCGACGAATCAGCAGAAAGAATCAGGTATTTGCTTCGTTGGATTGCTGAAACTTATAAAGATATTGATGACTTAGATCATTAAATATATAGAATAAATTAATTTAAGGACTGAATTCATTAATCGTCAATCAAATAATGAAATTTGATTATTATAAATTGTTAGGGGAAGGGGGGGATGGGGGAATTTGTGAAAAGAGTTTTTCGGGATATTTTATCCTTGTTAATGTATATTTTACATAATTTGAAAAATGTTATGTACAATGTTTTTCCATTTTTTTTCTTGTCAATTTTTAATATAATATAATAAATAGTTTATTTTTACGAGTATCTTTACAGAATTTGATCAATTTAAAAGTAAAAGGTATAAAATCACTTAATATGAGAAAATAATAGAAATGTAAGGAAGAGAGAAATAATCATTTATTTTTTCATATTCTTCAATTTACTATTATTATTACTTTTAATAATAATATAAAAGAGGGAATATAAAATAGAACAATTTCCGACAATAAATATGTTTTTATTACACATATATCTCGTACGAGGGTTACACGATATTAATACATGTTCTTTTTAACTGTCCAGCAATCAAACACGTATTGTTTTTTTTTTAATTTATTACATATCTCGTTAAATAATCGCAATACTCTCATATTTCTTTGTAAAACATTGTCGTTAGAGCAGTCATGAAACGCGAGGGACAAAACTCGTAAAAACTAAAAATATACAATTACATAATGTCAGAATCAGTGCTTGCAGCGAACAATTGACAAACGATTAACAAAGATGGGGGAGGGTCCGTTTACTGTTTATGCGTTAATGGTACCTGCGAATCCGCAAAATATATTTTTTCATCTGAATATATATTCATAACATTTTCCATAATAACCATAATCGCTTCCCTGAAATACTTTCAACAACAAAAAATCCGCTTCTCTCAACTTTCTATTTATGCAAGGAATTCAATTCTCTCAATTTTCAGCATAAAAATCGCTTTTAATTCTCTCCATTTTTTCAAAATCGATTTCTTTCAACTTATGTTGTAAAATTCACTTTCTCTTAACTTTCGTCATGAAATTTGATTCTCAAAATTTCGTCATTATAAAACTCGCTCCTTTCATTTCCCTGGCGAAAGTTTCAGATGAACATTGAAAATGTATTTTGAATTGGATTAATTAATGAATGAATGACAGTTGGTTTGTAATATTGGAACATAATTTATAAAAATGTCTATCCGAAAATTTTGCCAGGATTTCCGGACATAAAGTTCGTATCTCTCAACTTTTTCACACAACAATATTTCGCTTTACTCGAAAATTACACAATTTTTTTTTGAGTTTGTTTTGCTACTGTTATTGGAAAACACTTTGAAAATACATCAGTTGATATTAAATGATTTTTAATTAGCACTCTCATCACGAAGCACAGGTTCTTCATAGAGAGAAAGAGAGAAAAAGAGAGATAGAGAGAGAAAGAGAGAAAGAGAGTTACAACATTGTCATCGCTTACTCTCTATATAGGAGGTCTATTTAAATAAAAGTTTCATCTTATTGCTAATCGTAATCGTAGCCTTAATTTTCTATACTTGGTGACCAGCACCAAACAGTTACTAGATCAATGCCTACGACACAGATACAGATTTCTCAGAGTTTCAATATTTTTACGATTACGTTAGACTTGAGGGGAACATTTCTCAAATCACTCTCGTGTCATCTCGCTTTTTTGCGTCAATTTTATTACAATTTTCTTTTCTTTTTGTGCAGATAGAACTATTTTTTCGAATTTTACTTTCTTTTTTTTGTATTTCCTTTTTCATTATTAGTCACTTAATTAAGTATTTTTACTCTCTTAAATAATAAGAGAATTATTTATTAATAATAAATTGGTATTTTTAAAAATATTTTCTGTCACTTTTTGTTTTTTTTTTCTATTTTAGAAATTGTCAATTTTCTCGGCAATTATAAAAAAATATAAAATAAATATAAAAAATATTAGTGAAATAATTATGAATTGTTGACCGGTACATTTAATCTCTACAATAATTAATATTATCAATTTATCACAGTGAACAAGATGAGAGTAACACTTAATTAAGCATCTAGAGTAATTTTTACACAAATATTCGAAAGTATCAGAAATCATTTGAAAAATAAATAAATGATAACGGCTTTCGTCTTTCAATTTAGAGGCAGGGTTTTTCTGTTTATGACTTGCCAACAGACGCGTTATTACGGCAAGAATAAGATTTCTACAAACCAATTGGCAGACAGAAGCAATAAAGAGGTTTTTTGTTGTTGTTACATTAATTCGCAATGTCTCTATATTATAATATACTCTAAAGGTGTGTTTTTCTAGCGACGCTACAAGTCGAGAAATGCGAGAATGATCGGTGTCTTTGTCGTGGAAAACGAATATATATATATTTTTTTTTTCATGGGACGTTCTTGACCTTCCGGCTTCCGGCTTAAAGTAAGCTAATATTATTCTTTGGTTAAAAACAACTATCCACGAGGTTTCTTTTTTTTTCTATATCGCGCTGATTTAAACTGTACACACGTCGCAGGAGTTGAAAAGCGTCGTCGCAGGAGTCACGAATCAATTTTAATATAAACCTTATTAAAAGACCAGCTTTTTCACAGTTGTATATTAAAATTAATATGCTTTTTTTCTTTTTTTTTTAAATAAAATCTTACACACTACTTATTTATAATTTCCTAACTGTTAGTGTTTTTTTTTCGTTATTTAGATGCCACTACTCTGAGTTCTCGCTTAAGTTTTTCTAGTAAGCGATTGAGATGAAAGCTTAGGTTCTTTTCTCGAGATTTGGTTATTCTCGATTGCTGTTTTAAGGTAACTATCGACTAACTTGGATAATTGAAACAAATCAAAAACGAATCTCTCTTTTTTTTTGTGTTATTTTTATTTTTTGTGTGTTCAATCATATCTTCTGTCTTTCTCTCCGCAGGCTCTCTGTGTGCGTTTTTAGGAAAACGTACGTTATCACCCTGTACATATCATTAAAATCATTTGTAATTTTTTTTTTAATCCTGGGAGCTTTAATAAATATTTTTAAAGAGTTTAAGTCAAAACCATTATTTTTTTTATGATGGACAGTCAAGTACGAAAATCAATATTTAAGGAAATCAACTCTAAGTTCGAGGTACAGATTAATTAATTAATTACAATATCGGGGAATTATTAGCTTGTGCGATTGTACGTTCGTTTCACGATAAGCGTTCAATTCGCCAAAGCAATTTATTTACGACGGATTTTGAGGACACAACATTTCTTTTTTTTCAAGTAAATTCAGATTTCCGGTTTCTCTAATCGTACTTTTAGATTGGATTGAACTTGTGACGAAATTCTCGGTCACCTCTTCCTTTTCCTTTTTTTTTGTTAACTATACACCTCTTCTTCGCTTGATATGTCAATAAAGAATTTCGTTTGAATAATACAAGTCGTAGACCAGTTCTCAAAAAATTGTCAATTCACAATATTCCCAATCGCTTCGAGTATTGACTATCTTTTCTTGATAAGCAGAACTCGTTCCTTGGAGAAGTACTTTGTGAGAACGTACGTTGAGCTTTCCTTCTATTTGAGCATTCTTCCATTCGATATCGTTTTTTTCTTGTTTTCTTTTTTCATTATTTCGTTCTCTATGCGTCTCCCCTTTCGACGAATGGAGATGCCCTCATCTTTCGCGATTCGGACCAGCCGAATGGAGAAAAAGAAACGATTTCTGCTTTCAATTTTTGTCTTCTGTTTCTCTCTCACATTTCTTGTTTCCATTTTTTAGCACCTGCAGGTCGAAAATTTTTTTCTTTTTTCCTATCACCATTCTTTGCTTGTTCCACAAGCTTCCTCTTTTTTTTTTTTTTTTGTTTCCCCTGTTTAACTCACGAGTATTTTACCGGTAAAGGACGACTTGGATTTTAGAAAAAAACATCTGAATCCTTTCCGAGGAGACTTCTCATCGTCACCGTGACGAGAAAACGAGAAACAGACGTCACTGACGTACACGCCACCAAGTTTGTTGCACCTTTTCATGAAGTTTCTTGCAAATGCCGGCCAGCCTCCGTCACATCCCAGCATCGCCGGCAGTTTCTTCTGACACACCGCCCCCTTCTTCGCCGGATATTGCTGTTTGATCGCCGCCATCCACTCCTTCGCCACTCTCATCTCCTTCTTCCAGTGTTACCTGCAGAAAAGACAACTTCATTAGTTTTCTGAATTTAAAATTTAAGCAATGGGAAATTTTTATTTTTTTTATTCAAGTAGAAATTCTTTACGAAATGAATAAAAATTCAAATAAAGAAAAAGAGGAAGACAATTACCTGAAAGTGTATTCGATCAGATTGCTGCTCATTAGATTGTTGATCGTCAGAAGGTGGCGAGGGTGGTATCATTGATTGGTACCAGTCTCGATTCTCCTCCAGAGTATCAAGAATCTCCTGGGCATCAGGATGAACAAGATCGGCCCATGTTTCCCAAAGTGGATGAACAATATAATCAATAAAGCCAACTTGAGATTTTTCAATTGTGGCACTGTGTCGATCACACATTGGACTAATATCCATATTCTGTTCACGTTCACGATCGCCTTGCAAAAAGAATTCCTCCATTAAAAGTCCAACCCATCGTTTATACAATTGAAGTGGTTTTGTGGGATTTGATAAATCGGCGCAATGCACCAAATTCTCGAGGACTTGTATTCGGTCCGTATAATTGTCGAGTAATAAAACACCTGATCCAGCGACTTTTTTCGTCTCCACCATTGTTTTCAAATCGGCCAAAAGTGTCATATGTTTTGACATATCGGTCGAAAGCACCATATCAATCACCATCTTCCTTAATGTTTGACGTTGTTTCTTCGTCATATTGACAAAGATGTCACAGCCTTCGTTCTGTAGAAGCTTGAACGCCACTGCCAAGTGATGGTTCTCCAGCACTGATTCGTCGTTGTACATCAGAGCGAGTTCTGAACCTGTTGGAAAATAAATCGTCAATTTAGTGGGGGAATTATTTTTATTTATTTCTGTATTTTTATTGACTTACTTGAATTAATCAGGAATTGATTCGTGAGACCAGGATGATCAACATCGTGGATAGTGGCTGCAAAGAGAGCTGCTGTGATTTCCAGTGGCGTGAATACAGACTGAAACAATTTATTAAAATGTCAATGTCGATACAAAAAAAATTTATTAAAAATTTATTAGCATTAAAATAATTGAAAAAAATGTGTGGAATAAAATTTACCTCAAGTGCAGGAGTATTGAGAAGAGTGTGCGTGGATTGTGTGACGTCTGCTGCATGAAGGCTATTGTGGAAGGGATTATCCTTGACGTAGTGATCCTCTAAGGTCATCATGAAGGTGACAAAGGTCTTGGGAGGAATTGCCAGGGAATTGAGCAGATCACGACTCTGGAAGACTGTGTACGCCACGCAGGTCAACGGTCTGTTATTGCTGAGTTCACCTATCCTGAAGATGTCGATTCCCCACTTGTCAATGTCCGACAGAAGCTGCAATTTCCAAGTGAAAGGTTCTCTCGTTAATACGTCTACTTTGATCGTTCTGAATCGAGTAATTAAACGGGCAAATGGACAACTTTAATATCACCAATGTGTCCTCTCTAAAACCTCATTGCTACACGTCCCATTGTTCTAGATTAAATTTAATCCGACTTTCTCTAATCGTATATTTTACAATCCTTTATAATCCTCAATATTGTCCGGTGTGAATAACAATCAGAAATTTTCAAAAATTCAATATTCATTTTTATTTATAATTTTTTTTTTTTTACTAAGAAAAATTTCAATCGTAAAATAAATAAAATAACGTAATTAAAATAATTATTAATTATAATTAAATAAATTCGTGCAGCACAAGAACAAGACAAATTTTAAATACCCTTTTAATTAATTTTTAATTGAAAGAAAAGATTCTTTTGCTTCCTGAATATATCGAGTTTTTCAGTGCGGATAAGGAAATGTTATGTGAGACACTTTTTTTCTGACTTTGCCTTTATTTCCTCATTGAAGAAAACGGCTTTTTGGATAAAGTAGATTAAAACTCATCTTTTTAACCCACTTTATCGCTTTGTTTATTGGAAAAAAAATTCTCTTTTTATAAATGAATCACGTGGGACACGTGTTCCAGACAAAAACCTATCGACGTTACTTGGCTCGCGCCATAAAAGGTGCAGTGCATATATTCTTTCCTGTAGTTAATTTCGGATGAAAAAACAATTATTTTTGTATACAAATTTAATCTATTAAAAAAACAAAAAAAGCCCTACTGCGTGTTAAAAGAGAAAATAATTTACCAAAATTTTCATCTAATTAGTAAATAATTGTGATATCACTATATAAATTACTATTTTAATATTTAAATTTTTCTCCGTTTTTCAAATTTTTATAAGCTTTTATTAATTTAATATACTGATATTATCTACTTATAATAATATTTATAACAATAATAAAAACACTTATTTATTTATTTCTTTGAAGTATAAACAAAGTTACAAGAGGGAAAAATAATATAATATTATTAAAAAAAAAGAATTTAATTTTTAAAAATAAATAATAAAAAAAATTTTTTTCCAATGATAATTTATTCATTATTTAATTTAACACTGTCGTTATTATTGATAAATATTTTATTTTAAAGGTTAATTTTAGAAGGCCGTAAAATAAGTTGATTATTTTATTTGGCGCCACTGAGTGTGGGCGTATGAAAAAAATGTGAAATAAACTTTCTGAAAATGGCAAATATTGAAGAAACGACCGATTAGGGAATTTCGCGTGGGTGCAAACAAAATTGCGAATGTTTTACTGTGATTTTATGAAAATATTATTTTCGTATTTTGTATAGGGAAAAATTTGTTTTTAATTATGTTCTTACTCTCCTTTTCTTTCACTTTTTTTCCAATAAAAACTTTTTTTTACATACTACAATTTTTTAAATTCAAAATTAAATATAAAATTACCTTCTTTTGAAAGTTAATTTTTGTTGAAATTTAATTTTAAATAATAATCTTATTAGTTTTAAAAAGAAAATTATTTTTTTAAAGGTAAATTATTTTTCTAGAGACAAAGTAAGTGATATATTAAATTTTAAATTTAAATTGTTTTCTAAATGAAACAATTTTCCACAGTGAAATAAGTTATAAAACCAATATTTAAGTTTTTCGAAATTTTGGAACAATATCCGACAAAATTAAAACTATTTCTGGGAATGGGAACAGAAACGCGGTTTAAAACGATGAAAAATTTTAAATCTCAATGAAAAATATACCTTGCCAAGTTGTTCTTCATGAGGTGTTTCAACCCCATGTACAGGTACTCGTTCTCCGGTAAAACTATTAGTATGCGTTAAGGGTTTTTTAACACCAATAATATGGGACATTGAGGATGGTCCTTTTTGTAGTCGATCCTTTTTCTTAGCTGCTCTCGCATCTGCACTTCCGGTTGAAGCCACAGCATCCTCAATTCGTAGGGATGGCAAATCCAACTCTTGTTGTTTATCTGTAAAAAAAATGTCATCAGATTCCTTTTATTTCAAAATCATTAAATAAAATAAAACTTCGATAATCTGTAAAATTTCAAAATAAATTTTTTATTTTATTGTATGGGTAATAATAAAAATTTATTTTTAAGTATAACTTTTAACAAGCCCGTTAGATTATTTTTTTGTAAGCTGATCATAATTTTTATCAACGCCAATAAAATTCTAAAAGCCTTTATAACGTCAGAATTCCGGGATTCCGATGGTCATTTATTTTTTTTTTGTTTTTTTTTTCTTTTAATAGACCAAACACTTTTGTCGCTGATAAATATATTTTCGCAAAATATTGACATAAATGTTAATAAAATTAGAAAATATAATAAAAATAGGAAATTACAAAAGTTTATTAATATTTATAAATATAATCATTTTTTATCAATAAAATTTTTAAAGAATTTTCAAAAATTGAAATTTCTAATTTTATTTATTCTTCCAAGAATTTGAAATTTTTCATCAAATTCCATATATTCAGAAGACGCAGATATTTTTTCAATTAAGAAATCAAATTCGAAGAATGAGAGGAGCAGTAAAAATAAATTATACCGTTACGATTGATTGCATTTAAATATTTTTTTTAACTGCGCACTTGAATATAGAAAATTGGTTTACTATATATGAAAATGATACATTTTAAGATCATGTACCACACCTTGATATCAGAATTTTACAGTTACGCAGTTAATCGAATCGATTATTACTGAATTAAATATTTAATAATTTGTTTCTGTTTTACACGCGTTCATTTATAATTATAACAGTATAAATAGATTTATCAATAGTGACGCCGTTCAAAGATCATCGTCAAGAAAAGAGATTAGGCGCGACGAAACGATTTTTATGACAATTTATATTTTTTTACAACTTAATTTATTTTTATTTTTAGCTCAATTGTCATTTTTTTAAAATATAAAATTATTCTAATCTTTTCTATTTTTTTTGTACATATTTTTAACTGAATAAAATTAATAAAAAAACAAAAATTTTTAGAGAAATTAAAATCATTAAATTTGTTAATTATAATTTTATAAATTACGTTTCTCAGAGTAATTAACACCTTTTAATGAATTAATCATTAGATTCGTCTTTCGTAAAAATAAAAATGAAAACACGTTCAAAGGAATATGTCAGTCACATTCAAGGTTTCATATATTCAAAACTGCTTGTTAACTTGTCGCGTAAAGTTTACCTACCATTCTGACAACTTTTGTAACACTCGATTAAAATCAATTTTCTCATCGAGAAGTGCGACGTTTTTTGCAAAAATAAAAAAAAATCAAATAAACTTGTAGTTAATTATTTTATCAACTTTAGATTTTAAATTTCCTCTTTTAAATTTTTTTTTGTTTCTATTGTTTCTTTAATATTCCTGTTGTAAATTATAAGTATAATTTTGTTATTAATTATAGTTTTTATTATCAAAAATTTTTTTTTTCTATTTTCACGAAATGTCTTTAATTTTTCAAAATTTCCTCCATATTATTTTAGATTATTTTCTTATAATTTTCTGTTTATTTATTTATTTTTTTTTTTTTGAAAATATTTGAAAACACAAAAAAAGATTTTTCCTTTTTACAGAAACCAGATACTCGCAGTATCAATTTTATCTTACTAAACAAGTTACAAGTCTTGTCATGTCGTTTCAAGTTTTCTCACTTATCAATACGTCAGAGTGGTCAAGATATTAAAAGTGGCGTACGTTTTCCTGATAAAGCTTTCTTTTTTTTTATTCTTATCAATCATTCAGAACGTGTGACTCTCATTAACTCAATTTGTTTCACACAGTTTATTATAATTATATTCATTTTTCATTAAATAATTAACTTTTTTTTTTGTAGAAAAATAATAATTAAAAATTCATCAATTTTTTTATCTTACCAAGAAAAGTGCTGCAAATATATTCGGAAATCTGGTTGCCAGACTTGGATGACTCCGAGAAGTGTGAAAGTTCTTTGTTCAACATCCTTTTAAACTGTAATCAGAAATCAAATATTCTCATTGTAATTTAATTAATTAATTTAAACTTTCTCGTTTTGTTCTTTTAAAATAGAAATTTTCTTTATCAATCTGATAATCATTTACTTAATAAATTAGTCAATTTTTAGGAAATTTATTCTTCTGATAATAAATGAAAACTTAACTATCAATATCGATGGATTTTTATCGATAATTATGTATGATTTCTTTTTAAATTGTCTTTGATTTTGACAAAAAAAAAAAAAAGAAAAATGATTGATGTCATAAGAAAAAAAGATTAATCGTTTGCCTTTTGTCTTGCTAATGATTTTTTTTCAGTAGCTTACTTAATAAAAACAATAATGTAACACATCTTTCTCAGAATTGGTAAAATTGCGTCTCTAAAATTATATATCTCTCGGATGAGATCAAAGCCAGAAATAATCGCAAAAATGAATAAAATAAAATTTAAATATAAGTTAATTTTTATCGTTTTTTTTTTTAAGAAAAAGATTTTTCCCAGCAAATAGAATTTCAAAAAGAAATGAAAAATTATGTGACTCGTTTCTTGCAATTGGGTTTTTCATCATTTATCATGTTTCTTTTCTTGAGAAAGGAGAATTTTCTTTTTCTTCTAAATCTTTCTGTTCACAACTGTCAATTGATGGAAAATGGACAAAAATTACTATTACTCACTATTTTTAATTAATAGTGCGATTTTTTTAAGTTTCTCTATAAGAATAACATTTTCTGTTTTATAATTTTAAAAAGGGTCATTTATCATAAACAAGTGGGAAAATTGATTCTTTTTCTAGAATAAGTACAAAATTATCGAATTTGTAGATAAAAAAAAATTATTTTAAAAATCGATTGAAATTGGATTAGAATTCTTTTGAACTCGAAAAAATTTAATTAAAAACATTCATTTCCTGCAGAAATTTCATTCGATTTCAAAGGCTTTTCTTTTATTTCCTACATTTTCACTTTATTTCCTGGCTTCAACTAGGTTCTTTCTTTTAAAAATTTTCATCAATGATTTAAAAATATTAACAAAATAATAAATAAATGAAAAAGACTAGTTTTTTCTTGAAATTATTAAAGTCGATACATTTACATTATTCAAAAAAAAATTATTGAACAAAAAGAAAATAAAATATCTAAATTTTATTCAAACTTCTATTTGAAAAAAATTAAAATAATAATTTTATTTCGAGTTAAAATTATTGTCTAGCATGTTTTGTCGATAATCAAAACAGATTAAGCCTGTTGAAATATTAATCAGCTTGGACAACTAATTAATATTTATCAATAAAGATCAAGGATGATGAAATATTGATAAAAAATTTCATCTAAACATATATAAGGAATTTGAAAATTTCATCTTAAATATATAATGTAAGTTTACATAATGGATGCTGGGTTGGAAATTTTTCTCATCCAAAGAATTATATTGAATTCTTAATGTGTGTTGCCCCCTTACGTGAAAGACATAAATAGGTGTTACGTGCGTAAACGAAAAATTGTCTGACAATTTTCAAGCCTATTGATTCAAGTCTTATAATGACAGTGACATAACACTCGTTTTGTATGAACAGTCTTTAAATGATATCTCACACGAATTATATTATGTCCCACAGTCAAAAATTTTTTAACATTCATCAGTATATGTTAAATAATATACATACAACCACATCCATCAGAGTGGAAGGATTATGGAAATTTTTTTTTCCAATTTTTTTTTTCTTTTTTTTTTTGAAGATTTCACACACACGTTGTGATTTATGGTTCCTCTTAAAAAAATGATTTAAACACATCTCTTATATGCCTACGATTGTTTATCGTTAAATTGAATAGAAAAACAAAAGATATTTCCACGAGATAAGTACGAGATAAGTTCTCCGTTCAGCAAGTCACTCAGAAATATGTCTTGATTTTAAAAAATTTGTTGTAAAATTTATTCAAATTTTTTTTAAACACAAAAATGTTGTTAAAAAATGTTTTTGGTATTTCTGATTATTTGGGTCGTTTTCATGATAAAAATCTACAAGAAAAATTATCTTCTTTTTTATATTGTGAAAAATTTCTTAAAATGAAAAAATAAATTAAAATGGACATTTAAAAAAAAAATTAATAAAATAGAAAATATATTGAAAATTAATAAAAAGTTTCTTAAGAAGAATAGAATAGTTTATTTCTTAAAATATAACAAAAGAGTATTGGATGTTGATTAAAAAAAGGATTAAATTGGTATTTGTGAATTTTACAACATAGTAGATACAAAACGGTAAAGCGCGCGTAAATCTTAAAATCTTGATCATAAACTTTTACTATCTGGATCGTAAAATTTACAATCTAAAAGAAAGTAAACTTTACTTAACTAAATAAATTACATTATATTGCAGTTATTCTGATTAAGTATCAAATTAAAGTTACAAATATAAATAATTATAATTTTTTAAATTAAATAATTTTAATTATTAATTTTTATTAAACTTGAATAAATTTTTGCTTATCTAAAATTAACATGGAGACATAAAAATAATTTAATATAATTAAATAATTAAGATTCTAGGAATTAAATGAGTTTACTCACATAAATTGAATTTTCAATGATAAAAAACGAAGTGACTAATGAGAAAATAAATTGCTAACAATAGAAAATAGAAATTGAATGCCAAAAAAGGAAATTTTAACACTGGTAGAAAATTGAAGTTACATTGTAATTAACAATAATTGCGTATCGTTTAGTGAACTGAAAAAGTTAATTAATCGTTTCCATTGATCCTTTCTTCATTACAAAGCAATATCATTAAAAAAGGAAATATATATGTATGTCGACATAGGAAGTCCAACATCAACTTCAACTATTGATTCGAGGTTACCCATTTTTATATACCAGTTAGACGTCATCTGTTTTCTATATATATATACGCTATAATTCTCATTTAAAATATATGATATGATTCTCCATAATTCATTCTTAAAAAGATAAAACAATTTTTTTACACACTTCATTATCATACTCAAATATTAATAAATTAAAATTGATTAAAATGAAATTTAGACGTTTTATTGAAAAAACATATTCAAAAGACAATTTTTAATATTATTGTGAAAGGTCAGGAAAATGCACTTTTGAACTTGTTTCGCTTTTAAGAGAATTTTAAAAAGTAATTTTGCATAATTAATATAAGTGGAGGGATATCAGAGAAGAATATCTAATATTTGAGTATTTTTACTCCTTTCCTTTTTTCTCACCTCGTTTCTAAACGATTTTTTGACTCATTATCATTCTCACAGCTTCCAACGCTAATGAAAAATTAATTAAATTATTTAAAACTCTCTACTTCTTTTACACTTAAATAATTAATTTTAATAAAAAATAATTCATAAATTTATAATATTTTTCAACTTTTTAACTTGTCAATTTTGAAATTATAAAACGAGATGGAAATACTTGGTATAAACAGTATAATAATTATTGATTGAGTGGAATAATTTTTAATCAAGGCTTATAACGTTTGGAGATGTGTATTTTGAGAAAAGTGGTTCAATTGGCTGAAATATTTAAGCCAATTACCCACAATTTAGGGATGATTTAACGTTCTACTTTGAACTTTAAATTCCATGTTGACAATCATTTTTATACTGATTTAAAAAAATGGTTATTTTTTTTTAAATATATTTTTAATCTACATATTTTAGTCAACATATTTGAATTTTATTTGCGAAAATAAAGTTAAAGCTTGGCATACTTCTTATCGTCTAAAATGCAACTGCCTTGATAAGTCTCTTGCTTTCGCAGCTGACAAAAATTATTTATTATCGGATAAATTTCAGCCTGTTTCAAAAAATTCACCGAAAATTTCTTTAATTTCCCCATTTTTCTTAAGTATATTAATATTTTTTAATTTCATAAAATAATTAATATTTCTAAATGAAATTTTTTGTCTCAAATTTCCTAATTTTTCGATTGTTTCAACTATTACATTGTCACAATGTTTTCAATTTATTTTCCTATAATTCATCCCAATTCATCAATTAGTCCGAAAGCTAGTATTAAATATTGTTTACAAACTTTTGTGGCTAAAGTGAAATAACCGTAATCAAGAATATAAGGTAAATAATGATTATTTAAAGTTAATGATTTAAATGCATTAATTTAAAAATATTAATAATATTATTAAAAATTTTTATTAATATTGTTTAAATAATTTAATGTTTAGTTATTTAAATTAATAAACAGTATCAAATTGGATTTTTGACAAAACTTGAAACAAATAAATAAATAAATAAAAATTAATAATTAATTAACCAGCAGTAATTATTAATAAATCAATTACTTAAATTATTAAGGAATAAATAATTGACTGTGGCTCGTAGTTATGAATTAAAATTTAATTAATAAAAAATCGTAGTATTGAATACTATTATCTTTTTATTAAATATTTCTGCTTTTTAAAAGAAGAAGTTTTCTTCAACAATTCAAAATTAATTGACTAAATTTACTTATTATTTGTTAATTACTATACTTATTATTTAATTAATTATTTATTAATTATCACTTATAATTTTCTTATTATTAAGTAAGTTTAATTATTGATTAATCAATCAACAAATTTAACAATCTATTTCATTGTATGATCTTTTCAAGGACATTTGTAATTGCCTTCTGTCCACGTCAATTTAACCTTAATTATTAAATAGATATATAATTAATTTATTAATTTAATTATTGACTAGATATATCAATTTTCAATTATTGTCTAATAATTATTCAACTAAGTTCAATTATTGCAGAATATTTAATTATTACCAAACAATTAATTTCAATTATTAAGTAATAATTGTCTACTGAAAAAGATATTGTTCCTTAAAGTGAAAATTTTTCTTTTTCAGTTAAATTTTAGATAAGTACAAAAAATATTAACTAATTAATAAAATTGTACTAATTAATAGAAAAATACCAGAAAGCGGAAACTGTCAAGATTCACGCGTGAGATAAGAGAAAATTTG